CTGAGATAATTAATAAACGGCGAAATGGGGCTGGTCAGGGCGGCTATTTGTAGACTTCAGTATTAGCAGCCTATATGGCGTCTAGTACATTTTCGGTACTACCGGTAGTAGTAAATGCGTACAATAGGGAAAGGCCGCTAGAATGTAAGCGCGGCTGCACAGTGAAAAGTACTCTCTCAGGAATGCGGAACACTCATTAGTTTTGTTCTGATAAGTGTTTTAGGTAGGTCTCACGCCTCCTTTGGGGGTGTTCATACCAGAGAAGTAAATTATACCGAATTTGTGCTCTTTGTACTAGCCAAAATGAAAGTACCTTCTTTCAATAGGATCGACCACATGCCGGAGAATAATCATCCAGAAGTCTGACCATCACCTGTAGTATGCATTGAAGAAGCAAAAGATTATACATAACTGTAATTTAGCTATAAACTATGACTATGTTTAAATAATACTGGAGGGGTATAGAGCAGTGATACACTAAATACAAAGCCAGATCGAGATTGATGAATCGTAATATTATTCTTTTTTTCCCTTATAGTGGAGAAGCTCTACTATTAGCTGTTAGTGTATTTCTGCTTTTCCACAGAAGAAGAAACTAATCAGGAATAACCTATTCTGGTCCCCTCATACATCTAACAGTACCTTAAAAAGATATCATAGAGATATCTAATTAAGAGCAGCAAATTGTATACAGACTATAGAAACACCCTGACCTGCATAAGACAAGCTGTAACAATTCAATATCTAGCCTTGAGTGCAGTTGGGTGTTACGACAAGATTTAATAAGAGACCATTCTATGCTGACCTTATTAGTTGTGGCTGTCTTCTTAAACGATGCCCATACATTTCTAACCTGTCCAGTGATCTGCAAAAATGGTCATCATAGCTGATAACCCATCACCTCGTACTCCTTACCAACGCCTCTAATTAACGGTGCGATATCTCGCAATTGAATATGATATAGCTACTACTCCTTTACGATTGGGGTGAGATATTTGCTATTCAGTAGTTTGCCCCACTCATACTGCAAGCGCTGATATTATTAAAAGGGACTCAAAAATACCTGATTTAGTATCATTTACTAAACGCCAACGATCTGGGTATTTGCCGGAAAGATCATAGAGAAAATTTCAACATAGCTGTCCAGCCTCTCAACGTCACAAAATTTGGAAGTACAGATGGGATGACTGCTTTCTTGAGCTGTTGAAATCATAGACAGTCGGTATTTGACATCCCTGTGCCGTAGCGTTCTGTCCTTTATCGTCTGCATAGGGATGTGGGCATGCAACAACTAGAGAGCGGGCAAGATGGTATTTATCACCGTCGTTGTGGTTTAAAGCAATGCATTAATTACCTGCAGACTCGACTGATCCTATGTGGTAAAGGTGTAAGGGGGCGGGTTGGGGGAGTTCCCCAAGACTTTTAGCTTGGGAATTGTCCTATTGAGCGTGAGTACCACAAGCTGACAGTAAGCTAGATACGAAAAGCAGTCAGAAGCCTTGAGAGGAATATTGTTGCCCATTAGAGTGTACTCCCTTGCTAAAAGGAAGTCCTAGTCATCAAGGCCCCATTGCATTAAGCAGATCTGGCCAGATCTACTAGCTTTGCCGAGGCCTGATGGTGTGAACTGGATCAGGGTCGATGAAGGAAGAATAACCGTCTTCCAAAATTACATTATGTACGGTGTAGATATTAGCCCAGGCCTATGGAATTATGATTCGCTGTGTTTAGGCTAGTTGCAATCGCATGTGAATACGATGCTGTCGCATCATGTAGGCTATAGGTGAGTTGACCCATTACTGACTTACCGAACATTCGACAATTGGCTTATCGAGGACAATACGAAGTCATTGGTAGTGTAACGGCTCAGAATACAGGAAGACCTCAATAAAGTGCCTGGCTGCTGCAAATTCCATTCGAAATATGGATCCCATGCAAAACGCAATGACGACAGAAAAAAAAAAAGCTTATCCAATATATATTCCTTAGATATTGGGTCTATTGCATTGTCAGGCTAGCTCATGAGTTCTTAATCAGATGAAGGCTGAAGGAAAGGTGTAGTTAATGCACCCGCATCAAAGTACTGTAAGCAATATCGTGATTTGACAATACCCGCCAATTCTCTGGAATAACAAGGTTCGATAAAGTCGGCTGGTCATGAAGGTGTACTTAGTGATGGTACAACATAAGGTCCTGAGATCACTGAGACTCAGATATGATCGTAGTATTTGTTCCTGGATTGTAGTGATATCTGCATCACGCTTCGGACATGGCGGCCAGATCTGAGGTCGTGCCAAATGAGATCATTGTTCATGTTTAATCATAATTTTCCCACAAAATCTGCTCACCAGGAGAAAGCGTGTCAGAAACATATTTCAAATAGTCTCAGAAGGTTGGCTTTACCTTCTTCCGCAGCTAGGGGGCCCACACGTACGAAGACACTCTCCTGTATCAATTCGCGACGCGCGGAGCTCGAAGCTTATGGAAATCTCTAAAATCAGATTAACACATTTGTAGCATAAGAGTACAACAAGCCTTCAATATCATATGTTACAAAACACCTTCAGCAAGCCAAAATATTGGCAGGCATAAGGCTCCTCCCTCATGTCGGTGGGCAAATGCACTTTTAAAGCACTGCTTTGGTTGAAGCTTCTACCATAGCGCTTTCGTTCACAGTAATACGGCCTTCACCAGTATATATGCGGCATTTCGGTGGAGATGTGCCAGAAAAAAAGGCTGTATACAAAAGAATGGAATTAGTTAAATGGGTTCCATGAGGCTCGCAGCATTAGCTTACCTTTCTGCATCGTTTCCGGGAGCAGATGAAAATCGGCTCGTCGCTCCGGGTAAAGGCGGCCCTGAAGTACAGACGTGTGCTATATAGATAGTGTGAGATACTAGAACACAGCGTGTAGCAAAGAAGAACAGCTGGGTTATTGCGTTAGGATGAGATAGATCTCTAGGGAGTTGGTAAACGAGGTAGAAGCCCATTTCTGGAATGTAGTAGTTTTTGATCGTTCCGAGATGGAAAGGACCCTAAAGTGGGACTATTTGCGTAGTGCGTATTATATGATTGGCTCGGCGATATATTCCGCCAATCAGAATATTTTCTTTTGCCTCGAATCGGACGTGACGAAAAAGATCGGAGTCTAAAGCTTCGCTCTCCTGGTGGTATGCATTATTCTTCCCACTCATCATATTACAGAGCTAATCCGTGTGTAGTAATGATGCTGCATTCCCAAAGGAAGGGTTTGACGGCCCTGTCGCTTTATTGTCTTAATCTCATCTATGTTTATTCCATGCCGTCTATCCCTATCTGTGCAAAGATTCATTATTACAAAGAATTCACGGTTCCACCATGACAAAACTCCTTGACTGGTGAGCATCCTCCTTAAAAGATCACAGTCCACCGACAGTTCGGTGCCAAGATAGGGTTGATTGCGGGATATCAGTCTGTTAGCCGAATTATAAATAGCCTAATGATAGACATTATCGTGGAATTAACTAGGCAATCTCTACTGCCATCATAGCGCTATCATATATTAGAGTTTCTCAGCAATTTCGGGATTTGAAGAGGCAGAGCGTCATGTGAAAGATATCCTTGGTACAACGTACTATGCAGGAGGATCGCTAGCATTTCATATCATGTACCGGTAGTCTGATCTCATCGCGGTTTAGTGCGAGGCAACTACCATATCGCGATCGGCTATGATCGATGTTCCAGTTCTCAGCTTCGATTCCCTATCGAGGACTATCCCTTCCATCCCACATGATACATCCCTTAAAATGCATTATATATTTACCGTGGAGAGTAATCCATTGACGGCAAAGTATGGTTCAAATTATCACTATGCCGTTACCTTTGCTATTTTGAGACTGCAACACAAGGTCTCACGACATGAAGTACTTCATTAACTACCCAAACTTACTGAAGGTTTTTCCCAATTCGAGCCAAGCCACATCCGTCTTAGGGGTCCACCAAGCGCTTAGCTCACTTCGCAGACACATTTCTCCCGTAGACGAAAAAGCCATGGCTTAAGGCAGGTGTCCACTATTCACATTTTTCGAGAGCTACGCCGCCGCAGCCATCTTGCAACGTGGCCAAGGCGTCTTTCCTTTCACCGTATTGTGCTAAGAAAAACCTTTTATCTATAGTAATCCATGTACATCACAGAGGCGCACCACAGCGGCAATGTCGCGAACTTCGGCATTCAAAGACGACGTCATCTGCCTGTTAACCGGCAATGAGGATCATACTCCTCAATATATTGCTTGCATATTCATTGTAACATTTATGAATTAGAAGCCGATTTGACATGATGGGCTGATGCCGAATGCAAGTGTATTCATTACATCCAATATTGTGTATGTCAATGCAAGCTGCCTTGTCTCCAAGGACAGCAGATTACAGAAAGGACAGCTACCTAACACTAACTACATGCTTACGTTATCCACATGAAAAGAGCCATGATAGCAATTGCAGAATCAGAACCGGTACCAATTTAGTCAATCTAGGCACGATGCCATGAGTCATACTAACAGACCTAGCGAGACAGAATACTTAGTCTATTAGGGGTTGTGATGGTCAATAACCAAGTTCGCGTAGGCTAAAGTAGAGTACACAAAAGTGTGAAATTTCGAATGAGAACGGGCCTCTCGCGGCCCCTTCGCAAGTGGTTTGAGAGTAGCAGATAAGCTTCTATGTGTTTCTACTGCGCCTAGGACGGTCAACGTTCGAAGACCCACGAAACTCGCATCGCTCGCATACTTGCTATGCCCGATCAACATACGGAGTAGAACGGACAATCGTTTAGGAAACAGGAAGATATTAGACGACAGCAACAGTTTGAATATCAGTAGGTAATTGATATTTCACAAGCTCAATCCCACCCTGCAAAGCTAAACTCTCCCTGGCCCTTCTTACTTGCTTCAATCTGACTAATAGCATCCAGTCTTCAGCAGTCCCCAGTGCCGCATCCTTTTTCGTGGTACGTGCTAAGATGGCACCTCCCGCATGGGCGCTGCTGCCCTCTTGGACCACCGCGCACCCAAGGAAGTTATTAATCCCGCGGGCACGGGCGCACATTCAGCTGCCAAACTCAAGCTCTGGTTCCCGCACAACACAAGCCTGCGATTCATGTCGAAGCCGTAAAGCGAAGTGTGATGGGGCAAAGCCGAAATGTACTAATTGTGAAGGACGGGCAACCGAGTGCGTATATTCGGATCAGAATAAGTCAAAGCAAAGAAGGGAGTTGGATAAATTAAGGAACATTATCCAGCACCATGATTATATGATACGCACTATCCTATCCCAATCTCTGAATACCTCGCCATCTACCATTACAGAGAACCCGGAGGTGAGCCGCAGCTACAAGTCAAAATGCGATTCATTGTAATGGATAGGAATATGCTAAACTTGGCACGCGAAGCACTATTCTAGGTGGGTTCGAGGAGCCACGCATACCGTCGCACATCAGGAAAATTCAGGAGATTTGGAAAACGCACTGCAAGCATTAAAGATTCGATTTAATGAGTTAAATCAGATCTATGAAGCCATACGCAAATGTGATCCAGACACACTGCCATCTATGGTAAGCGCAATTCGCCACAGCACATCCGTCCATGACGCCGCTACACGCCTGATGAGGCAGGTTCCCATACAGCGACCTGGCCTCGGCCTGGAGGACATGCAGCAGGCCTGGACAACTCAGCTGTCAGGCCAGCCAGACCTGCTTGAGCGGCAGACTCTCTACAGCGTCAACACAATCGGTTTGTGGTCGGACCAAATTGACAACAGTACCGCATCACATTTGTTCTCCTTATATTTTGTCTGGGACAATCCTACATGGGGACTAATCGAGCCCAGCTTGTTCCTTAACCATTTAAACAACAGAGACACTCGCTTTTGCTCCTCTTTATTGGTCCACACTATCCTCTTCTACGCATGTGTAGGTAACCTACGCCGACGTGCAGCATGTTGCTGACAGTTCCAGCATTTTTCCTATAACCTAGCGAGACCGTGGGACCGTCGCAAAGAAATCAAAATTGCTAAATTTCTTTTCAAAGCAGTTGAGAAGTACTGGTTTCAGGATAAGAGTAGGGTTTGCCTCCCTACTATGCAGTCGAGCCTACTCCTTGGGGTGTTCTTCTGCGCTATGGGAAGAGATAAAATTGGAGTTCGTTACATTCAATACGGCGCGCTGATGGCGTTGCAACTCGGTCTCCATACTTCGTCAGCCGAAGCATTTCGTGTTCACCGTGAGCCGAACGTACAGCAATATCTGCGAATGCACAAAATTCTTGCCTGTGCAGTATACGACCTTGAAACGTGAGTCACTCCTCGGTAATATCATATTCATGATGTCTAAACCCAATAGTATGTCGGCTCAAGTGTCCGGAAGGTCATCTGTGTGGTCAGCTCCGCCGGAAATATTCCTAGGCGAAGATGAAGCACGCGCTATGGATCTTGATCAAGAGTGGACACCATATCCTTTCAAGGCTCCTGTGTATAGGCCATATATGACTATAGGCGCATGGGCCCGTCGGACTCTTCTCATCATTGTAAATGATGTGGCCCAGCTGTACTCCCCGCCAGGCGTCTCAACTGATCAGCACCTTTGGCAAAGGGCTGCCACAATCTACCAGAGGCTCAATGCCTTCAGGCAAACCCTTCCAGCTGAACTGGAGATTGCAACAAACAAATCACCACATAACATTTGTCTACAGTGTGTTAATTCCTTCCCTCTTTGCACTCTACGTTTGGTAACATAGGTATAGCCTGTATTACTACGCAACGGTTGTCAACCTCTGTGGGATGTTCAGAGCTTGCCCACCAAGTCCAAGCGAAGATTGTCCGATCGAATCCGCAGATTTCAACCCCCATAAGATTCTTGGGGAAGCCATGGAGTCAATGGGAAGGCTCGTATTATTATACCGCGCTTGTCATGGCTGGAAATCCACACCTGTGGTTATGATGCACTACTTTTTTATCGTTGGTGTTCGCGCCGCCTCGCGTTTGGAGTGTCCAAAGTGGCGCGAGATTTTGGCAAGCTGTGTGGCAGGTCTCTGGCACATGAGCCTGGTATGGCGACTCTGCCGGGCCCTTCTGCGAATGATAGAGTTGGTGCTCCGTTCCAGTGTAGATCTTGCACTGGTACCCGCAGAGGTGCGACTGATTTTCGATGAGCACCGTGAGAAGTTCTGGAGTCAAGAGGAACGTGAATGGCTTGCAGCCAACTACGTTATCCACCACCATACCGACCAGGTACTTGGGGAAAGTCGGGGCGGCAGCGATTGTTTCCATGGTAAGGGCTTGGAAACTGTTATAAGGGAATTTGATCAAGAATCTAGGTATATGACTGAATTATAGGAGTACATTTAATAGCAATTATCATTCAAGTATGTATATATATCAATATCATTTCTTCAGGACTTATCCCAGGAACGTTGATGCTCATAGTGACATTGATGATGAACTATCATGATGCCGATTCTATGAATAGTAGACATACAGAAGCAATATTCTATTTAGTCTTATATATTTTAGGGTCACGCTATGGATTGGCTGATATTGAGGTCGATTACGCATTTATAAACACTTTGGACAAAATCTCAGACAAAAGTGCTTGGTAATGGGATTATATGGCTAGAATAATAGTATAAGGAGCTAAGCTCATGGGTTACTGGTCTTTCTGGCAGGCCATCTATCAGGCAAACAATGTATAGCTCATCTGGGATAGCGAGCATTCGCCGCTACCGCATTGACCATGTTTTTTGCTTCGTTTGAGACCCCATGGCTCCCTGACTCTTGTCTTATCGTATCGTATCCTTATCTTCCTTTTCCTTCCTTACCCCAAGCTAGAAAATCTCATGAAATACGGCCAATATGATGTTGTTAGAAACCGCTGGTATATAGAGTCTATCATCAACATCATTCTTTTCTCCTTCACACTCTCCACGTCACTGTACATGGCTAGCCTTCGAGTAAGGCTAGAAGTGCCTCCTCTACGCATCCTGGGGAACGCCTCAAGGCCAAACAATCCGAAGCCGAAGCCGAACGAACAGGTCAACGATAGTAAGGGCCAAAGTCCGTTCCAAATCGTCCCCAAGCGCCGTGGACTATGGATGATACCTGCCTGCTCTGCCGAACGTTGACCCTGATGATCCGGGTGATGTCACTGGCGAACAGTCACGAGATATGTACCAGAAAGACCCAATAAGACCTTTGACGTGACCCCACCAGCATCCATACAAAAGAGGCTGATGTCAGTTGCGCAACGTAGATTCGTGCTCGGAAATATCACACCATGTCAGTCATTACTTCATCCCCCAGGCAGTCAGACCAATGCCCACCATGGCAGGAGATTGATCAGCTAGTAGAGAAATATTCCGCCCACCCAGATACCTTGACTCTCAAGCCCGCCAATACTGTGGTTCTTCTTACAGGAAGTTCTAAGAGCTTGGGGTCGCACTGCCTGGCACAGCTAGTCCAGTCCAATCAAATAAGCCAGGTTACCTATATCCTCCGAAATAGTCAAAGTCCTACCCCATCTGTCAGCCCAGAGGCCTATCGCAACCAGCTGTAGGAGAAGAAATTATTTTCTTTCAAAAGCCAAATAATCTAAAGTTACCCTCATCACCTGTGATCCCACGGACTTCCGCCTGGGTCTCGACGAAAGCGAGTATCAAGATGTCCAGCATCATATTACCCACGTTGTGCACGCCGCCTGGCCCATGGACTTTCATCCGCGTTTGTCATCACTCAATGAGCAGTTCCAGTTCCTCCGCCATCTATTGCACCTAGAGTCGTCCGGAGGTGTACGGCGGCAATTTTTCTTCGTATCTTCAATTGCCGTGGTAGCGCAACGTGGCCTGACCCCAGCCCATACCGGTGAGTTAATCGCAGAGGCCTCCATGACCACCCGGAGTCAGCTACCAGACTGGGATATGCCGACGGAAAGATAGTTTGCAAGAAGTACTTGAGCGGGCGGCAGCGACATATCCAGACAAGCTGGAGATCGCCATCGTTCAAGGAGGACCTATCATATGATCTCGCGCCACGGGCATTTGGACCGCCAAGGAGGTGGTTCCCATGATATTACAATCATCATTAAGCCTTGGAAAGCTGCCACAGCTGCGAGGGGTAAGTTACACTTGGAATTCCTTAACCTCCGAAAAATGCAACCACTGACAGGAGGTATAAACAGACATTATCATAAAGACCAGTTAACGATGCGGCGGCCGTCTTTTACAAGATTCTCAACTTCTGAGTACACTATCTATTATCTTACAGATCCGAGTGAACCAGTGATTAATATCTAGTACAGGATATGCTGATTAATTTTAGGATACTAGACAACAGAGTTACAGAAATAGGACTGGAAGGTACTAGCATTGTCCGAGCTGACAGTTACCAGGTTAAATCTCTTTTGATTAGTAACCTTGTAATATGTGTTCAGTAGATACTTTAGCATCCATGTAACTTTACCAGAGGATATATATGTATAAGTGAATCAGATAATAACATTTAAGATGACTGTATTACTGTCTTGTATATTTATTATAGCAGTAATAGCTCTAGTTGAAAAGACAAGATTACAGAAAAATTAGATAGATTTAATTTCTAACAGAACATCTATAATCTCTCTGGCATTAATGAATTTTACTCCGTTCTGATTCATTCCGCGTGCGGTGGAGTTGGTTTGGCTGTAATCCAGATTACTCAGATGATAGAAATACAGGTATATGCCATGGATCACTTATTAGAGCGGTGCTAATAGACACAGATATTTTAAATTATAGAAAGTAAGAACAAAGCATAGAATTTAATTTATCATTATCATATCCAGCGTGAAAATATCTTCCATTTCTGAGATATATTCTTCCAGCAGGACGTCATGACAGCCACCAAAAACCATGGTATTGATATGGTACTCAATTCTTTATCCAGGAAACTCCTGCTGGCCTCATGGAGTCATATTACTGAGTTTGAGACCATGGTTAAGATCAGTAAACACAATTTCTACCAGCACGCAATGCTCTTTATGGAGACGTTCGAAGCCAATCAAATATTTATTAGACTGGATCTCTGGCAGTTATCTTAATAACAGCCCAGGAAGGCTGCTGAGTAAGACTTTTATTCTCTGAACCGCCATGTACTGCTGCTTACAAGCCCGCTAAGTTCCTGGAGCATTATATAGACTAGATCCAGCCTGGAATAATCTTCTTAGATACTCCAGAAAATATTTTCCCAGCTAACCAGGTCCAAGACACCTTCAGATTCATGTAATTTAGTTAATATATCAGAAATATTATTATTACTATACCCGATGACCTAATTAATCTTGCATCAATACCAGGCAAATCTGCCCTGATTCTCCAGGCCAACTACAGTTACCTTCTTATAGATGATCTCAGAGATTTAGGCGGCACAGTAGCTTCCTGGATAATTAAGCTCAGGACTCAATATCTCAGCTTCCTTTCTTATTCTACTGGCCAGCAGCCTGAGACTATCCAGCTTATAGCTGAGCTATATTTCCAGGAATATAAGGTCCAATTAGTTACAGGCAGCGTGGCTGAGACAGGTAATATCTATAGTACAGTTAATACCGCGACCATACTAGTAGCTGGCATAATCAATATGTCCATGATCTTAAAGGTGCGTGGTCTGCAGTATTTTAAAAAAGCCGACTAGCATTAACCACATTCAATAAAATAAAATACTAACAGACATGAACTTCTCCAACTGGACCAATATGGTAGAGTCTAAGATAGAAGGGACTTAGAACTTATATTATACTATCTCTGCTAACCTAGACTTTTTCATTCTATTCTCCTCGTATAGTGAAATCATTAGTCAATAGAAATAAGCTAACTACGCGGCCACCAATACCTTTTTAGATGCTTTTGTATAATATCGATATGGAAAGGGCCTGCCAGCATCAATAATAGATGTCGATATTATAGATGAGATAAGCTTTCTATTATATAATAAAATTATATTCAAACGCCTCTCGGAAAGTGGCATGTATATCTTGATGGAGCAAGACCTTTTGGATGTAATGGTTATTGCCATCACACAGTCAGCTTCTGACTCCCCTGGGGCCCAGAGCAGGGCGTACTGCAATATCAGTCAGATCTTATTGAATAAAAATACTACCATTCCTAAATCAGCCCGCTCCAGTCGACTGCCATGGAAAACCAATATTCAGATGAGTATCTATCATAATATCCATGGGGGCAGCGAAATATCTCTATCTAGATACTCAGACCAGAACAGTCTTTAGGGCTTGCTTGCTACATGTAGCTCTTAATCTAAGATCCTGACTTAGGAAGAAGTCACAACAAGAATCACGCAGGCTTTGGGCTTGGCCTTGGCAAGCTTCCTGCTGTGTAATACTTAAAGTATCAGTGTTCATGATTCCCTTCCAGCGCTGGGGGTCGACTCGCTTGTAGCCATAGGGGTGCGAAACTGGATTCGGCAACAGCTCGATGTAGATGTCAGTGTCTTTGTACTCCTGCAAAGCACGTTGCTATTGCAATAGCTGACCACCTCCGCCTGGCCCTAGGTGCTCGCCTGGCGGCCCACGAGCCTACCGCCATTGATGTATCGTAGATGCACCGTGTAGACCCCATTCCGCCAACAGAGAATCTCTCGTCGGTCGGGCTCGTCCTCGATCGTGGCCTCTGTCAACCGCCCATTTTCTGTACCTTTCGGGCTGGTAATTCAAAAGACCAGAAATATCGATGCGCAGAAGTGCGCAGGGATAGATGGACATTGGTTCAGTCAATTGAATTAGCCCATTGGGGAAAGGGGGGAAGGGGAAAGAGAAATCAGCCATCATCAGGCCAATAGATTTGTGAGGCCCACAGAATGATATCAACGATTTCAAATCTGTGACATATAGACGCACAGACGGCTAAGTAGGGATTCTTAGATACAAAGTTATACAGAAGCTATCTGCGACAGGGTCTGTGGACAAAGTGTTCACCGATCGTCATAGAATTGTCAGCCATCCCACTGACTCTAACCTGGAGCTTCATTTCGTAGTGATCGTTGTGATCTTTGCACAATCATTTGATATCATCACGGCAGGTACCAATCTTTCAGTCGGCGTGTAGGGTTTGCCTCCATGTTACCACAATATGTCCGTCATCCCACAATAAACCGGGGCAGAGAACAGGCAGCACCCCCTTCCCTCGTTTCTGTCAACCCTAGGCTATATTGAATCAAAGCCCACTTAACAGCAGGCAGACATGCACACAAGCCTATCGTGCTTTGGGTAAGCCGGCCATATACTAATTTGAGGCAGAGTATTTGCTTTCGGTGCCCGGAGAAAACTTCCGGTGGCGGGGGCCCGTCGGAGTGACGGAGCGGTGCCCACTGGATGCACTACGAATCAAATAGTCTCTGCGCTAACTTTGCCGCGGACGAATCCTTTGCGACCGGCGAGGGTGAAGATTCGTGGAGAGGGCGCCCTTTATCCACCAGACATGGTGAATTTCTGCACGCACGGCCAATATTGACTCCGATCAATAGCCCGTGATGGCTCTTCAGATGCCACAGGGATGATTCTTTCCCTGGCCCCAACCTCCCTGCCCCCACCAAAGCACGAGCGATCATCGATGGCCAAATAGTAGCCGTGAATTTGCTCTCGTCGAGATCGGTACCACCACACTCCGAAACCCACCGTCTCAAGAAAATATCGCTCTTAGCTTCCTGTACAAATGTCATCCTAGATGCCCCTGCCTGGCAGCCTGAAACCCATCATAGATCTGATTCCGGATGCTTCTGTCCGCTAGTACTGCATTGACACCAATCTCCACTTGTCCAGCTGTGGTGTTGCCCAATGCATCATGGCACCCTGTCTTTTGAGGCATGCTCCAGGCCGGATAGTGCCCTTTTGGGTAGTTGGAAGTAAGACCAGGCAAAGGCGAGAAGCCCTTCCCAGTCCTTTATTGGAGGATGAACTTGCCGGGCATGAAGTCACCGCACAATGTCAGTCCGGTCATGGGGTACGGCGGGCAATAGCGGCCATCGGGCAAAAACGATTTCATGTATTTACTGCCGGCAGGATAAGTATGAAGTCTGATTGGATTGCGTAGCTTATCTGACATACCTAACTATATGAAGCTGTACGTACACTATTAGATGACTTGCTTGACTTCATTATACAGACAGCTACTAGTCCTGAGTACTACGAAGAGGTGCAAGTCTTGCCCAGGGTGTTGTACACAGGTATCCTGTATAACTGGAGTGCAGGTGCATCTAGATAAAGAAAACAGTTCAAATTATATGTATTTAAAGAATAATGGGATTGTTTAATCTTTATTTTCTTTAATTCTGATAGGCTGGCTGGGATCATGTTCTTTTATATTCTTAATAAAGATAGGATCATGTACAGATTCTCCTGTCAGGCCCCTGCCTTGTGCAGCAGTATCTGTATTATCTATAAGTTCTATCTAAACCTCATCCTGTACAGAGCAACATGATGCCTGATCTAACTATTTACAGTTAGTATATGCTCCGCCCCATGCACCTGGTAAATGGTGATATAAGGGAAAAGTTATTATACCTGGCTGAGTATGGCATCTCAAACACGGGGCAGGTGAATAATTTCTATGGGATCATATAAGACAGATATTAATATATAAGGGTCAGCGGGACTCAAGCTGATGAGCTGTAATCTAATCATATCAGCATTTAATATCTTAGCCGGGCATGGCAGCTATCTTTTTCTGTATACTAATAAAAATATGTAGTTCTATCAATACTGGTGACCCTGTAAGAATCACTGGATTCTGACTAGAAGAAAGCTGTTTATATATACAGATAAAGAGTAGATATGTTAATGGAAGGCAGGGATAGGAGATAGAAATTACTTAATAAATTTGGATCAATACTGTATTCATTTAACTTTTTAACTCCTATTTTGTACGTAGAGAGGTCTTAATACTGTAGACCTTACTTTGTCTGTCTACCCTGCCGCGTAGAAATGTATGATCCTGTTATCTAGTAGAGTAGTATATAATTAGAGACCTGATAATCTATACTCAGTTACCTGATTTTTATTCTTTTCCTGATTATATATCTCTTCCTTGTATAATGAGGTGGTGAGGGAGACTGGGATAGTTAATACTTTAGAGATATATCTAAAGTCTTTATTTTGGTATCTAGAGTATCAAGATTATCCTGATTCTCTTGTACGGTTAATCCCTCTTGTATGTGATTGTACGCTCACGGATTTATACGTGGTATATTGCTTTAATATGGGAAGCAATATCACTTGTAGATTGATATCTGATGGAATAGATTGATAATCCTAGCCTTGTACAGCTCTAGATCAAGTTTAGGACATCCCATGATCAAGGATATAGATAGTAAAGCACTGTATGTAGAGAGATAATAAGCATCATTTGGCGGTGAGGTCAGCGGTGAACGTACCCTATCACCAGAAATCGTTTTTGTCCGATGGCCGCTATTGCCCGCCGTACATGGGGTGGCACCTATGGCCTCACAGATGGCCAATACCTGCCCATTGCGAACAAGCAATGCAACTTTCCGCGATCTCCCCTGCCTTCGTCTGTAAAGGCTGCGTGCAGGCAGCACATATTATGGCAAGGTGGTAGGACTAGCAGTCCTGGCTGGAGGCTTCTCAATATAACTCTTCTAGATTCTATCTTCTAGCTACCTCGTCAGGCTATCCTCAGGTTCATAGACAAGACGTAGCTCGGAGAGCTACAGCAGGATCGGGAGCGGGCAGGAGGTTAAGGAGGTCGTGGATCACGTGCAGGGCGGTCAAGGGGGTTGCACCGTGACATACTTAGCTTAAAGATTCCAGATACTATTCCAGTCTTTACTGACTCTGCTAATGTACTGATATTAATTAAGAGTCTAATATTTATCTTTAATAACTGATAAATTGACAACAGCTTGCTTTTTGTCCGAGCTTGCTATAAGAAAGGCTTATTAAAACTTGTATATATTAATGGTACAGAGGACCCGGTTGACAGACTTAAAGTCTTTTAATTTGATTACTTATCAAAACTTTTGTCAGATGATCTCCCTTACTAGCCTGTTAATAATTGCTGTTATTGAGCAAGCTTTAAAGATATAAAGAACATGATTCTATATAGCTTATGAACAAGATATATATCATAGCTTACTACTTAGTTAAATAATATCGCGATGCCTCAGGGTCTCGTGCCCAGGGGGTGTGTGAAAGGCGATAGTCACGTGACCTGAGGCCACCTCATCCTTCTCCCTCTGGCTGCACGTTTCTTCCCGTTGGCACGTATCTCGAGCCATCCAGTTGCCCCCATAGCTGAGATATGCTCCTTACAAACATGGGGCTTACGTTGGACCAGTGACTTTACTCAAGTCCCGGGCGGATGCCATTATACACTCGGCTTCTTCAATCGCATAATTGGAGCCGCTAGAGAAATTGGTTGGGCCAAAAATTGTTGCCACGAAGCATTTGGCACGCCAAGCATTGGACTGCAAGAGGCTCGAGCTCCTTATATCATCTCAACGGCCTATTACAAGCCTTACTTGTACGCCGAAGCAGGTGGGACTTCAATGTTAGAAGTTCAAGAGTCACTGTACCCTATCTACGGCGAAGGAGGAGAAAACACATAAAGGAGGGCTTGAATCAAGAGCTGCAGGCAGTGTATCAGACCTTCTCATTCTTGGTCTATTGAGTAGGTCAGGTGTACAAAGTCATAGGAAATGACTTCCGCTTCTTAGAGGCGAAAACATGTCCTCTCTGGGAATCACTATCGGAGCTGAACGCGTTCTGGCCTGCTTCTTTTCGCTGGTATCCAGATGTTGTATCATGACCTTGAGAATGTACGTCCCGACCACCTATGGGACTGCATGAGGCATCTGACAGCATGAAGCTTTAGGGGCCGAACCATAGCAAAACTTCTTTATCGCGCTCTCTGTGGCCCCTGCAAAACACGCCCGCTTTGTGACCACATTGTATGGCTTCCCTCTGCAATACGAAACTTGCTGGGGATGTTTGCTCTCGTGATTAGTCTTCTTCCAGGGAGATATATACTTGAACTGCGTGCGTGAATACCACAATTATACCAATGCTTGGTCGATGACAAGGCTTGTGTATCCTATATTTTCCGATGCAAGCGTCCGTATGTGTATATAATACCCTCCTAGGACTGGTAGGGTCGCACATCTTGATCCAGCACTTAGGGATGAGAACTCTCTTGGAAGGGATCTGAACGAATATAGATGTAATATTAATAAGTTTTAAAGAGCTGGTTTCATGATATTGCGACAGCCCGAAGTGCAGGCTTGCCGTAGCTAAGAATTGTCCGAGGAGTATCTGTTATTCCCAAGCTGTTCCTAGCTCATTGTTCCCGGCACGGACACAGACCTTGAAGGATCTGCGACTCCTTCACAGCATACAATGATGAACCTTACTGGTCCGCCAATGATCTGGTAGTAAAAACCAGCGGCAAGTGAAAAAGGTAAGCTAACAGGCGCCGGGCCGGATCGCGAGGCTGATGATTCGATAGGCTGCTTGTTCCGCCAATCAAGGCTCTGGATCAGGCACGCAGGACTAAATAATCAGAAGTCTAGTTGGAAGCCGCCTCAGCTTAGGTCACGATCCATACTATATCCCGAGCCTCGCCATCACGAATAAATGCCAGGCCATCTGAAACTTCGCAACTGTATATATGTTGATCAAAGATAATGTTCTATATTTCCCATGTGCTATAAGAAGGGTACGATATCATTAGCAGTTTCCACGCACATTCGCACTATGAGCATATACGCGCTCATGTACACTTTTCCGTCGCGGGAGACCGACAATAACACCGATAATGGAGATAGTGGAAGATAATATACCAACACCGATTACTCTATAACTCGTGGGCTTTGCTACCTACCGTAGATATACTCGGATTAGAAAGCTTTAGACCGATCCGGCGACACTGCACACCCGTATCATCTGGGCAGGGCAGGAAGGACACCCGGTATGCGGCGAATGGATGACCTCGGCCCAGTGGCGGTACTGACCGAGGGCGAATTTAGTGACGCCCCGCAGACCCGGAGAGAGCAGGATTTCACCTTCGTAGTAGCTACCACATTGCAGACCGCAAACGCTAAGTCTCAGCATCTAACCGTCCATGAATTTTGCCATCTGCTATGCAGCTCACTACCCGCCAATCAAAACGAAAGACAGACTGGTGGGATCAGCAGGCAGCAAAATGCCAATAGAACTGCTGGCCCTGCTCCCGGGCTGGCAAGGAAAAGATGTACTGACAAAACAGGAAATGGGAAGAAGGAGGTGGTGGGGTGGAAGATTAGGATGAGCCAATTTTCATCCAGTATCGAATGGTGGCATGTGCCCTCCGGCCTTTGGGTATTACCGATTCTTTCCTATAGTGTATGTGTGCCTTGTGGGTCCATGTAAGGAGAAACGTTTTGGGAAGAGATCGCGCGTAAACCAGTAGGAGTTTACTTTTTCCGAGGTCTACTATTAGCTGATGCTGATTACGGTATGTTCGTGTTCAACTCAGTTCATTTGTTTCGTCCGGCGGGTGGCCAACCCTGGTAGAGAAAAAAGTACAATATGGTCTGTAATCATGGGGCTAAGCCAAAATTGCTTAAGTCGCTACGCTGGCGCAGGTACTATACAGACAGGATCTGAAAATACTTTGAATGGCACCCTGGCTGAAGTATTCGACTATTTCCTGATTCCATCCCCGAGGCCGCCTTTCTTTTACGCTGCTACATCGACTCAATCAGATTCGTTAACAGACCGAAATCACTCCGACCTTCCTACACTACCTGGGGTCGTCAAAAGGGAATTATCACGGCTTACGACCCCCCACCCCCTCCAAATGAAGCTACCTCGCTTCTCGAAATCGAAGAGGAACATCCTTAATGTCAGGAAGAAGTTTCGGGCGATGGGCACCTGGCCAAGCAAAACAGTCCATCGTTTGGAATATGGCATTCACATACCAACCGTAAGCCCGCTTCTCGGATTACCAACTGAACTACTATTGGAGATTGTTTCCTACATGTCTATCGTGGAACAAATATGCCTCGCCATGACCTGCAAGCAACTGTACGCAGCATATGGCCCGATACCAAGCCCGGAATCGTTACAACACCATGGACAATTTGCACCTATCCGCCATGGATATGGCAGTCATACTTTCGTCATTCTTCGGTGGAAAGCCCTCCGCTGCCTAGAGAACGACCGTTGGCAGGCGTGCTTCAGATGCCTGTTGCTGCACCCGCCGGCCTTGTTCCCTATCCAGAAGCATAACCGGAACCCTACTGAGTTATACTGTAACCTGGGTCCTCTTGCAGGGATTGTCGATATATGTCCCTGCAAGAAAATAACCTTCCATGATGCAATGGATCTCCTCGAGGTTTTGCGGATACGGCAAAGGTCGCTTGGCACCTTCCCAAACCAGCTTGCCACAGGCGTATCCCAGCGTTTCTGCTGGCATTCCTGCACCCAGCACTATGGAAGCACGCAGCTGGAAATTGCAGTATATCCCACACTTGGGTCAGAGGACCAACTGGTTATTCGAACCGAGTATCAGCTGTCGACCAAACAGGGACCTCTAGGGCTGACTCCCCATCTGGCCTGTGCGCATCGGTCCCTGGTCTCATGGCTTGCAAGCGTCTGGCAGCGCAATTCAAGAGGCCTACCTCGAGAATTCTCCGTCCCGAATAGTGATATCTCCACATGTCAGCTTTGCAATACAACGCTCAAGTGTCTGCGTACATGGCCCCACCATGACGAAAACCGAGGAGAAAACCAGACGTATCTATTCTGGACTGAGAGAAATCTGGGCAAAGCATCAACAATTCCAGATAGTATATGGGCTGCACAGAGAATTCACCCGCTCGGGATGCAAGCCTAAAACGCGAACCTCTCTCTTGGACCTTGTAGGTGATGCTGGTGGGGCCTTTGAGCGAACGGTGAGAGAACAGACAGATCATCATGTATGATTCATGATGCTCACAAGGGTTCGTAGGACCATGGTTTTAGTGTATAATAATCGATGTGCCGTAACGGGAGTGATTAGTACCCAGCCGTTTCCGAAGCATATAGATCTGACTGTGCAGGTCCACATATCTAATATCCAACACTTTCTGTCGACGAGCTGGAGATTAATTACGTTTTCTTCTGGTTCTAGTATCCTAGGCCTGTGTATGCTGGCCATATGTTGGTTTTTTTACCATGGTCTGTGGAAGCGGAAATTGTGGTTTCTTCTCGTGTACAAGATGTACGTTTTCTCGTACACCGGGGCCTCGTTTGGCATGTACTGCGTATGTAGACACAGAATCACGAAATGGCACCTCGAGTCCATAAAACTGATTTAGGACGCACTAGAGAACACCATCTCTTACTTCGGAAACCCACCATATCTGCTCTGAACACATCGAGGGGCTGTTCCTCGGAAGGCAGTAACAATCACCACCGGCTTAGCTCGACTCTGTTTACATGCAGTAAAACTCTCCATCCTCTAACAACAAAAAGTGCGCTGTGGTTACAACTGGCTGTCTCACCAGCTGCACTGTGAATCTGCTGGGGGCTATCTGTAGCGTACCAAAGCGCGCATCACAAGGTCACAAGACACCAAAATTTGTATCATTACTAGCTTCGCCTAGAAATATTCTTGGAATAACAAAAAAATGGAAGGGGGAAAAACAAGAAACGCCGCCTTTCCCTCTTTTCCCTCCGTGACCGGGGCTTGTCGTTGGAAATCTCAGGTGATGCCACAAGGCCATCCAGGGAACGATGCGAAAGATTAGGTGTCCACGATTAGGATATCATTGCCCCATTGCTGTCGGCCATTTGCACTTCTTGCCTCTAAGGGGAAGGGCACGGTTGCAGCAAATATGCCAGCGACTAGTGCTCCATCATTCATCCATCGAGAAGCGATCTGTCGAGCATGCTTTGAGCGGTCTTGTTCGTGGTGGATGTCACAAATCATAAGTCTCGCAGCGTTTCTAAGGCTCCTCATGATTGTCTGTGGACCCGACAGTGGTTTCAGTTGTCCCAGCTCCAGTGCCGCAAGCTCTCGTTTATCAAATTCATCCAACCGTGGGCATAACTTTCCATTGCCCAAAGGGACGATACAGCTTTCATGGAGGAGTGGGTTGATTAAGTTGAAATGTTGAATGATGCAGCCCATGATGAACTTTGAATACGATGTAATATAATTAGACGCGGCAGGGTTGATTCAACGACATCATCCAAACCGTTTTAAGGGCGCAATGTATAATACCATCCGTCAGAATTCAATTTCAATACAGAGACCGATAGTCTCTGTGATGTCTCCTAGGGATCTTCCTCTCGGACCCAGACAACAGTTGCAATAATCGACGGAACAACCCCATAGACCCTGTAGGAACGTGCCTATGCTGACGGTCGGGCATCTTTGTGAATGTTGGGCAATTGATCACAGGTCCGAGATCATATATGTGCCTCAATTCGAGGCAAGGACAAACTCTTAATTATCACTTGCAAGAAACAAACTAGTGAAGAGGCGGATACTACTTTTAGCCTGGTAATAAATATTATAAAGCCCGCCCGCCTCCACCTCCCTCATTCAAGCTAAAGATAGCCACGACTCTAGTCTCGCCCTAATGCCTATCCTGTGGCCATGTGTGTCGGTATTGGAGGATTATGAGCTGTAACATGCATAACAGAGAAATTATTCTTTAGATTCGATACCAATTCATCGCCAAATGTGTTGTCGCAAGTGTCACGGTGCCGAGCGGACACTAGCACTGGCCCGATGGCAATCCCGCCCGTACGGGGTCGCGAACACGCAAGACATAACACCTATTTTTCTTCCCATGTCTTTCACCCAAGAAATCCCCCCTCCCAAACCCCCGCCCATTCCCCCAGCAAGAAAGTGTTGCAAGTGAGGTCTTTACACAGAAGAGAATGAGCCGCTTGTTTGAACCTGATTTGCGACTTGTGGTGATAAAAGTGGACGAGCCAGGACATCCGACAGTATTTCGCTACATCCAATAGGCACTCAAGCGGCAGCCCAGGGCAATAAACAGCAATGACAGAAATCCAGGGGAGTGAAAAGCCGAGCAACAGTTTCTACGGACCCAGAATGAGAAACTGCAGGAGATCCACACCCTCCGATTGAAATTAGCTGCGCAACCGCCAAACATGCCGTCCACCAGATCCTGGGCAGAAGTACGCGCTGGCAAAGTGGTAGCATGGACCTAGAACTAGAGTACGTAGACATCCCGCCTGTCGCGATGCACAAGGCTCTGGAAGCTAGCAGCGACCACGAGACCTAGAGGAATTTCAGCGAGCATCTAAAAATATTTGAAGGAAAGTAACTGCACGACGAAAGTTACCTTCGCAGGAGACTCCAACCGTTATCATTTAGGATGAAGCCACCGCCGTTTCGCAGAATATACTGAAAGACTCATCAACTTCTTTTGAGCCCATGAGCTATGAGCTACTATGGTGTCTAGCCCCAGACCAGACGACATCTCGGTCCCTAACAAGCCCGGGGAAGCCTGGTACTATGTCGGCACTCAATTTTACATCTGCTAGTGTTATGGCATGGGGCAAGAAATGCCACCTCTACTATAACCACAATGGGTCAGACCATGAAGGAATATTCGGAATATAACCTCCAACCATGGCAGATTGGAAATTCAGATTGAAAACAACATTATGACCGGACAGACTAACTTCAAACAACAACTCTGGGCATCGGCTTTAGTAATGGTTGTTGTTGGTGAACCGGTTATTAAGCATGGAATGATGGAATATGGAGTGGCACAGCAATATGATATGATCTGTTTTTTTAATATAGAGACTGCTGGATCTTTAGCTGACGTCCGTTGCCTTTCTGTATGGAGTATCCCAAATTATTTATTCGATCCAAGAATGATTGATGGTGATTTTATGTCGCAGCAGCTGGAGACTGTATAAGAGAGCTGCTCTTTTATATCCCTATGAGTGAGTTCAAGCATTGCAAGATAGTGTAACAGAGCCTGTAAGTAGCTGTTAATGAATATTATTCAGTCCAGATATTTTGTGTACTATATTCCCGGCTCATGTGTAACAGATATTCAGTCATTGTGGGGATAAAACTCTGGACAATCAATCCTAGAGACTAACTAGATGGCTGTATGCTAGGTTTGTTGGCTGAATTCATGACGCTAACCCCTTGTCCTGTCGGTAATATGCAGGTTATAACTCTTCTTATTTATTCTCATCTCAACAGTATATTTACCATGCTATAAGAATAAACTTTGTGGCTCGTCAATATCTGTCGCGGCCTCTATGCCGTGGCTTGCGGATACGAATATGTGGATTTGACTATAACAGACATATTGCCCCAATCTGAACCTGCATGTTAAATCTGTGTTTATAACATAATTTACAGATTGGACTTCCTCCCGTACTTCTGATGGCTCCGTGTAAACTCATCTGTCACAACCGCTGCTGCACTGCTGACATCCAGGGCTAGTGTAAATGATATGATCAGGCCGGCTAGTCAATGTTTCATTCCCAGGACCAGTGCAACGTAGAAAAGTCAACGCATCCTGCTGCGTCGGATATGCCGTGCCACCACTGCTTATGTTAATCGGCAGCGATGGAAAGAGACAGGAGAGCTGAAGATCCCCTGTCTCTGAAACATACTTAATGATTAAGTATTTTCCAGTATATTCACTAATATTAGCGGCATCCTAACCGAAGCGATGAACATAGCCGTTATAATATTACACGGGTTCACCGTATAACCGACCTGGCTGTTTTGGTGTGCTCCTTCTCTGCTGTTGAGCAGCACTTGCAAGAGATGCTCGGCGGTGCATCCGAGAACCTGCTGGCAGGCTTTATTTGTAATCATGCCCCAGACTAGTACTTTGACACCGCGCGTGCGCATCATGTTGCTAAAGGACAAATTCTTGTCACTACACGTCTGGCCAACGATGGTGATGTGCTGAAGCTGGAGTTAATTAGTAAGTAAAGTAGCCCGGAAGCAATCACACGCATGCTGCGTGGTGACAGTGGCCATGTTTTGCCCGGAATCACCACAATACTATTCAAACAGAATGTGAACTGTGGACTCTATTATCTGAGGTGTTAATTGGACTAGTCGAAGATGATAACTGGTTGACTCAGTATTAATATGAAATTGATCCCTCAGATTGGGGAGCTGCTCAGCAAAGAGTACAGTATTTTGGATGTTAGAGAACCAGAAGACTGGATTCCGTGACATGATGTCATCCAGGATACGGAGTTGTACGCTACCTGAATAATTTGAGGTTTTGCATCTACGGGCACAACTGGTAACTACAGTGCTTTCAGTGGTGGCTAGCGGCGCATAGAACAAGTCTCCCGTGTTAGCTGAGTCTTTAACTTGCAGTGAGCCAGCGAGTCCTACAGGAACTCTGGTAAAGCTGATGCAATTTCTGATATGAACATCGTGGATGTCTTCTTGGTCAGCTCTCAGTAACATCAACTGTGACAGGATTTAGTTGGGAATTCTATCAGTTATCATGAGTTAGCTAAATAATGATTGCTGTCGTGGACAGCCGAATTGCGGTGAAGTATATAGATCTGCTGTAGGAGAATACAATGATATTATTTATGCGGCTGAGGATTTTCCTAGTCGTCACGGGTTATAACGGATTTTATGTTCATGGGTAGTCTTTCCAATCATAAGTAGATACGGTACCTGACGGGAGACCGGGATTAAAACAGAGATAAATCTGTTCTTAGAGGAATTTGGCTAATCCCCGAGAAAGGACCTCAGGAAAATAAAAGGAGAGGATGTCTCTACTTTTTCTTCTTCTTTCTTTTCTGGGTTCCCATTCCTTTCTTTTTCTTATCTTTTTATTTTTATTTTATTTCCCCTCTTCTCCTTTCTCTTTTACTTTTGATTATGGGGTTTTTAACGTTGTCATTATTGTGCATAATATTTAGTATCCCTGGTCTCCGTGGATTTCACTTTGTGGATTGTTGCAGCCAAAAAGGTGAATCACATAAAAAAAAATATAGCGTAAATCAGCACCTGATTCTATAACTATGATTTTTATGACACAGAACAAGGAATGTTATTTCTACTATATCCTTATGGGTCAGACTACAAGGGAACATACTTGGAAGGTAATCTCCAAGCAGGGCAGTCTGGGAATCTATTTTGAAGAGGACATTATGACTGAGCAGACTGGGCTCGATTACGTGTATACATATTGATCCAGATTTACCTATACCCAAATATCCAGTTTATCCCAGATCCAGGTCTAGCAGTTAAAGATCCGATTCAAACCATAATCTCTGGCCCAGACCAGCATGAACCCATGCAAAGCCCGTGCCGGTACTTGGAGTATAGGTGCACCACAGACCTTCAAACCCACCAGATTGATATTTAACCGAGCCTGCCACAAATGGTAAGGTAGATGTATTGGGACCAGCCATCTAATCATAAATATGAAGTCTGTGCATTTATGGTAATAAGAGAGGACTGTGTGTAGGAGTGTCCATAAAGTTTATTACAGGCTATTAAAAGATATGTTTACCTGGAGGTAGGCAAAGGAAGAAGTTATTCATTATCCAGGAAAGGCAGAAGAATCCTATAATCCTTCTTTCTCCCTACAGTAACTGGCCAATGACGGAATAAGTTATATCCTGAAAACCACGGGGCTAGGTACCATGATGTCTCGTGGTCCGGAGTGGATATGTATGCCAGATTAGAAGGTATATACTAAATCATCAAGGAGTAGCTGCGAGACGTAAACATGGGAATGGATTATTGGGTTCGGGTTGGGAGGGAGTGGGGAAACAGGTGTAAAATGAAATTGGATTGTAGAGAACCCGCTCTAACCGGGTATATGAGGAATAGGACATTGGTAAGTATAGTGATCTCTTTTGACTATGGAATGACACAGAGTATACTATTTCATCTGGTTGTATGGACGATAGTACGCATCTGGGAACCATGTTCTACAGTCTGATCCCGAGCCGTAAGGTATAATAATATAATCAAAAACTTGCCTCTGTATGCCATAGTAGATTGTTCCTGTCAGGTGTATAAATACAGCTAATCACTCTCTTATATTCTCTACCAATGGGGATCTACAAGTGAATAATAGATTTTGTGGATATTAGCTGGTGCATCCACTGCAGATAAAGATATTAAAAGCTAATTTACTTCCAGTTTATGATATAAGAGACTATCTACTTTATTAATCAACTAGTAGTAATCCACTGTAAGTGAAAAGTTAGCTAAAGTAACCAGTATACCTGGACTGAATATTGATAAAATAGTTATCTTCTATTATTCAGCTGAGATGTTTACAAATCTTAATATATCTTATATATAATCTTTCCAGTTAGTTAAAAATTAGTCCTGATTAAGAAAGACCTCCAGAAATATCCTACAGTTTTGTAACAAGGAATATGTGTGGGTGTTAATAATTAATACTGCTATTAAGAGAGAGTCCCTGATTTCTGCCATGATCTGGAGTTAAAACTTTAATAAGATTCAAGTCAAGCAGCTATTAGAATATATAAAAATTATTTACCGCCTCCTGCCTCCTTTGGTTAACAGATACAGTAATAATAGCTGACTGAGATATAGTTATTACTGCCTGCTGAATATTGTAAGATTGCAAGAAGATTACGCTACTAGATTATCAGGCACTGACTAAGCTACTATTCTGAATACTAGAGTGGGAAAGCTTGTCACTCCGATCTTCTATAAATATTCTGTTAAAGGTTCGGAAGGATGCAATAGTAGAACTTTGATTGGTGGATGATTCCAGCCGCCAATCAAGACACAGAAGCCATATGAGGCGGGCCCACTTATAGAGTGGCCTTATCCTGACCGGACTTGTAAATGACATACCGGAGATGATTGACTTCCGCTTCCGATCGCCCAATTTCCTTGGACAACATCTCGTCCCACATGTTATCTAATATGTCCTAGCTACGGCGTGTATCTGGCAATCGGTAACTATTCAACTGAGGAAAGGTTGTACCGCGGTGCTGTCATGACGAAAAGCGAGAAACCAGTGTTTATTTGCTCTTGGAAATAATGCGGAAAGGTATGCTGATGCTGCGAGGGTGACAGACTTTGGATCCAATTCCGCGTATGTCTATCTGCAGTCTTGCGTTTGCTGGACGGATTTCCGTAGGTACCCTCGCATACACTCTAGTGAACAGCTATATCACTGTGAAGGAAATGAATGCAATAAATCTTCTAGACAAAACGGTGCTCTGAAAGTCCACCTGCGCACCCACACAGGCGAGAAGCCCTATAGCTGTCAGTATAGAGACTGCCTCGAGGCGTTTTCCAATGTATGGTATTAGATGCCTTGTTGCCGTTACAGCCAGCACGTAAAATCTGCTAAGGATTAGACCTGACAGTCTTCGACTTTAGCGCGTCACCGACGGTTTCACGCAAAAAAAGCGTCCGTATGTATGCGAGCTGCCCAGCTGTGGACGAAGGTAAGGTGATAACTGCCAGACGTGCAAAGATACTTCTGACGCAAATTGTATTGCGGAACAGTTTTCGCCGTAAACGTACTTTGGTCCAACATCAACATGGATCTCATTCGGCACGAACTCAGCTCCGTCCGTCGAGTTCGCAGCATGTTCCAGAGCATTGCTACGATGCAGGGACCGTTATTTCGTGATTTCCAACATCTAGCTTTGTCAATATTGTCTGTTGTATCATTATGGAGCGAGTTTCCTTGACCAGTTGACTGCCTCTAAGCTTATACCTCCAGCGACACAGCACGTATAACTCAAAGATCCTGGCTGCATCCCTCTCGGCTTCCTGACAGCATCATCCATCCATTGCACCTGCTGTTCAGCTGCGCTGTGGTCGTAGACCTTGTAAATTGACCGTAGCGGAGTATATAGCCTCAAGGACAGCGGATATAGTTACCGCAAAATTAGCCTAATGACCACGTGATATTACTGCGTCACCATAAGCTTCCGATTTCTGGATTCCAGGCGGCCGAGTTTAACTTATTCCTTTCGTAGAACAAGTTTGGTCCACTACAAATGGGAATTAGACCTTCATAGGTTCAGGAACGCTACTGTCATACATATGAAAGAACCTTATGAGCAAGTCTTGCAAGGTGTTGTCGGTGGCCAAATCAGCTCCGTACGATGAGGCCTGTAGGTTAGGACACCACGCCCAAGGCCCAGTGATGGGCAGCAAAATGTTCTCCTTATTCCTGACGGTCGTCTATAGCTCACTTAGAAACAGACTGCCCGCGGGTGAACCTCACGCTCGATGGGCGTATCCCTTGCAGTCCTCCCGACACAGGGGTAGGGGATAAATATGCCTTGTTACAAAACTGCATTGGGAGTGGCAGGCAACCTCTCTGCACGCTTCAACCACTGTTAGGGCACCATCTCTCACTTTCTAATTCCCCGACTGCAGTAGATTCGCCCTCGTCTACATATGATGAAGGGCAGCACGTCACAGCACGAACAAGGGGTCAAGATACTAGATCCCGCGGCCCAAGCCAGTGTCAGTAATGCTCACGATGTACGCCTTCCGAACTCCGAGAGACTTAGTGCTAACAGTGTATCCCAGTGTGAACTGAGTCCATGCCAACCCTTCCCTCTGAAGCGATGGCGGGAAGACGAGGCACTGAAAATCATACCTTTTCTACCGGTCCAGGATTTGGGAAGATTGATCCGATATAATCTCTTTAGCAACGGTGATGCTGCCAAAATCACACTGCATAATCAAAAGGATGAGATGCTCGACAGATTGCTCGCGGAAATATGGCAGTCGCTCCCGCCTGTAGCCTGGTCAGCCTTTCCACGTGAAAAGAAGATCAATGTTCTGATGAACCCGCTACGTTTGGATTAACACCATTCGCCTCGTTGGGCCTCATTACCCTGGAGTGCCGCGGAAACGTTGGACCCGCTTGGTCTGGCAAGGAAATTCGACGCCGAGAGTGAGGTTCACTTCAGACAGATTCCGTTCGAAGAGTGGGTTCGCCACCTCCTGGGATCTGATGCCTGGGTGGTCCGACGGTTCCTGCAGCAACACACTATGCTTGGTGACCAACTTATACACTATCTTCGTGCACATCCGGGTGAGATACAAAGATATGCTGAAGTGGAAAGACTCCTGCGGCAGCGAAGTCCATTCGTACACTATGTGATCCATCAGGCATTGCTGGGAAATCGACCTGACTTCCAGCAGCGACCAGCTTGCCTGCCGCTGGATATACCTGGCTTCCATTTGATCGCGCGGCCAATACAACTGCTCTTCCGTACCCGCCAGGGAGGACTTATACCGACGCTGAAAATTTTGGATATTCTGTCAGTTCGCTTCCAACGGTCGTACTCCAGTGCGTCGATGATCGATTGGACCCGACCGTTGGATACTTCTATGCTCTCTCTGAGCGAGATCCTCCTATCAGATTCGACCGACATTCTTGTCAAAGCCCTGACCGATGCTGACATTACTGAGTTCGCCTCATTCGCCCGCCGACATTCTGCATAATAAATCGCGGCTGCGTCATATTAAATCAAGATGGCACGCGCTAAGAGACGCAGTGTTCGAATGCTGCATAGCAGTCCCGGACCATGTGGCACTTCTTCTCGAAGCAACTCGGCGTCTTCATATAGGCCGAAACTATCACTCAAGTACGGCTCTTCTTCACGGCCTGCGGACATACCTGGTCTCCAGCTGCCTGGATCTCGTAAAGACGCATCATCAGAAGGTTTTTAGCATGACAGAGATGGTTCATTTTATCGACAGCTCGAACAACTTTGCGATATATCGCAAAAGATATGAAAAGGTCCCTGGAATCCCATTTCTTCTTCCTCACTGCCGAGAGATCGACAATAAGGGTTGGCCAGCCATGTTAGAATTTTCTCTACTATTTTCTGCTTTTGCAGTACGGGCGTTTTCTGTTGGTACTTCACGAAGGGAGACTCCTCTGAAAGCTCCATCATATGATATTTAGGCTGTAGCGCCACTAGCGCCACTGGAGGGAGCTGCCGAAAGTGAATCCAGGAACTATATCACGTTCGGCTATCAGATACCGCACTTGGGATGCCATCTCGGTTTTACTATGGCAGTGTTGCTGAGATGGCATCCGTATAGATCGCCATGCTGGTATAACTGTGCTGTCGAAGATGTCGGACTTCTACTTTAAGAACTGGCGTCCCAAATGGAGTTATTAAGTTTTTCCCACTTATCAGGTCTGATATCCACTATAATACCATGTTTGAAGTCTCCACTGCTTCTGATAAACTACTGTTCTTCCTCTTTCCGCGGATTGGCAAGCACCTATAGAGTCCTGCTCCTAGGCCAATGTATGGGTATATAGGTCTTGTCCAGGTAAAACCCCCAATATCCACTCACAGTGCTCCTTTTTTTCTCTTCCAAACATAAGAAAAGCCCCAGGAAAGCATGAGAGCCGCCAGCAAGAAATATTGTAAGGGTTTTGTATACTATTCTGAAAAGCTTTCCCAGAACGATCAACAATCACCGTTGAACACTCTCCAGCCCATCGTTTGCTCCCACACGCCTTCTCCCTTTACTTCGACATTATCTAACAGTTCCTTCAGAAACCAGACGCCGGGGCCTCAACAACTAGTGTTGGCTCTTCATTCGAAAGGATATGTCTTCCAGTCCTACATAAATTCGTCTTAATAGGGAAAGGTTGGTGGTCGAACTCAGATACTACATGGGAGTCGTGATCAATAAAGTCACTGCATCTTTGGGCAAGGAAAGTCATGAGGGTCCATCACCATGGCCGCCGCTGACCGAGATAGATGACCTTAATCTGCTTGCAGTCCAGGCTGTCTGGAGAACTTCCTACAGGTATATAAAGCAGTAATTGGAGCAGCGCATATCAGCTCCTTCTGACTCACTCTGACGGGTCACTGAAGACGACTGGATGCTATTGGATGGGGTTCAGATGTCTCTAGAACTGGCAAATGTGGGAGTCACAGAGGGAGATTAGTCCGACCCAGCTGCGCGGCTGACCAATTCTCTCGAGTGAGCTATGTTAACCATTACTAGTTGACCATAATTCTATATTCACACCTACTAACGCCCATTATCTTGCACCTTTACCTTTTATGGTTTACGTTCTTTGGCTTTATTCTATCCCTATCGCTACCTTCGTCTCGTCTCGGGGACACGTGTGATGATACTGAAAGTGTTATGACGTATGATATTTATTTGTAGCAGTAAACTTGTACAAACACCCTTACTGAGCGTCTCCGCACGTGGGTAGCCGGGCCTGTGAATGTGATTAGGCAAATCGAATGCCCTCCGCCGGGCTACTGGTCTAATTGCCAATTGCGGGGTTACACCCTGCCTCCATTTAGAAATAATGAATATTTGTGATATTGGTTACTTATACGTAGCAGTACCTTCTACACCGTAGCGAGTGATTTTTCGTGGCAACAGGATAGCTATAATCAAATGACCTTCCGTTGTCAATTGGTGGACATTCTATGAACAGGCTTGCTGCAACTTCCACTTAGACAGATAAATATCTGCAAGAGAGACGGGAGGGTATTGTTGAAGCATCCCCTGGTCCAATATTGTCTCATCCTCACTGGGCCTGCAGGCGTTGACCGGGCCTCGAACCGGCAGGTTCTCACTTCAGTAAAAGGTCTGGCGAAGCGTAGGATACGGAAAGTCACACTGAATGGCTAGTTCTTATAAGGCTTCGAGAGAAGAAGATTGTCAGTAGATAGGGATATACCAAATCCAGATGCAGACAGACGCCCCTCCCATTCCCTGATTTAAGCCCACCAAAGAGCATGGACCGGATTCACTAGGACTTACATAAGCTCATATCCATTGACAATAGTAGTACGAGGCGCCTCCCTACACAAGTGGTACACTTTATAAGTGGGCCCGCCTCATATGGCTTCTGTGTCTTGATTGGCGGCTGGAATCATCCACCAATCAAAGTTCTACTATTGCATCCTTCCGAACCTTTAACAGAATATTTATAGAAGATCGGAGTGACAAGCTTTCCCACTCTAGTATTCAGAATAGTAGCTTAGTCAGTGCCTGATAATCTAGTAGCGTAATCTTCTTGCAATCTTACAATATTCAGCAGGCAGTAATAACTATATCTCAGTCAGCTATTATTACTGTATCTGTTAACCAAAGGAGGCAGGAGGCGGTAAATAATTTTTATATATTCTAATAGCTGCTTGACTTGAATCTTATTAAAGTTTTAACTCCAGATCATGGCAGAAATCAGGGACTCTCTCTTAATAGCAGTATTAATTATTAACACCCACACATATTCCTTGTTACAAAACTGTAGGATATTTCTGGAGGTCTTTCTTAATCAGGACTAATTTTTAACTAACTGGAAAGATTATATATAAGATATATTAAGATTTGTAAACATCTCAGCTGAATAATAGAAGATAACTATTTTATCAATATTCAGTCCAGGTATACTGGTTACTTTAGCTAACTTTTCACTTACAGTGGATTACTACTAGTTGATTAATAAAGTAGATAGTCTCTTATATCATAAACTGGAAGTAAATTAGCTTTTAATATCTTTATCTGCAGTGGATGCACCAGCTAATATCCACAAAATCTATTATTCACTTGTAGATCCCCATTGGTAGAGAATATAAGAGAGTGATTAGCTGTATTTATACACCTGACAGGAACAATCTACTATGGCATACAGAGGCAAGTTTTTGATTATATTATTATACCTTACGGCTCGGGATCAGACTGTAGAACATGGTTCCCAGATGCGTACTATCGTCCATACAACCAGATGAAATAGTATACTCCGCTTTCGCTCCACATTGAAACTCCATGACTACTGTACCTATCAACATCCTACCCCTCCTACAGCCGGTTAGAGCAATTTCATTTTGCGCCCGTTTCACCATCCCCTCCAGAACTCAACGATCCATACCTGTGATCCATCCCTATGTTTGCGGCTCGCAGCCACTCCGTGATGATTCAGTTAACTGTCAAAGCCACCTGCTAAGACAACTTCCGTCGTGCAGTAACTTTCCTCCATATATTTTTAGATGCTTCCTGCATTTCCCCAGGTTGTCGTGATAGCTGCTAGCTTCAAGAACCTGGTGCATTGCGACAGGCGGGATGTAGACCGAGATGCTAGGTATTGTACTTCTGGGTCCTAAATTCGATTGCTACTACATTCACAGCGGGTACCTCTTCCCAGTATCTGATGGATGGCATGTTCGCTCATTGTAATGCTACTTGCGTAAGCCTTGAGTGCTCCAGTATACTTACGTGGATGACTGACAATTCAATGCCAGTCCATCCAGTTCTAGTCGTCCAAGCAACGTCTAAGTAGCGCATGTTTGTGATTTGCCAAGAAGAACGGGGAGAGATTGACCTCCAAATTTGATCGATTATCAGTAAAAACATAGCAACTGGATTACGTAAAACGGACAAGGCGTAGCACAGCTGACATAGTGTGAACTGTCTTTACAACTCAACCCCCACGCCAAATTCAGGATCCATGATAGATAAGCTTTGGAGGTTACTGGTAGATTGCTCTCCGGCACTGGGTTTTTGTGCAAGTTCCTGAGTAGCAGTCGAGAATGCACTCTGCGTAGTGTAACAGACACCGTTACATGTATGGACTGCAGAAGTGCTTTGCGCCGCCAAAGGCAAGACTCCCATCCTTTGTTTACTTATATAATCGACGAGGGTTAGCGTCTCTTCGGCTGCATTGAAGACATTGTTGATCTTCCCAGGGAAGATGTAGATGACGCCGTCTCTTTCGAATGTGAGTGAGCTGCGGAATTCCGCTCTTGTTTTCAATTTGGGCAATGTGGCTCCTCTCCACCCTTTGTAAACAAAACGTGCGGTATATCCAGGCCAGAACCGTTCAAGCTCGTGCTCGATATGTGACCTGACTTTTGTTCCAATGACAGCATCATCAAGCCGCCCAAGAAGGTCCTGTGCTTCTTGAAGACTGTCGTACGAACCCATGACAGTATACGCCCCGTGAATGATCAGATAATCCCTACATGGCCGTTCATTGGTTGAGATGGCTGGCATAATGCAAGGGAACCACCCATCCATGACTATGAATGAAAATGGAATATCCTGCGGTGTTTGGTCTTCATACACAAGGCCGATACAAGCTTGGTATGTCACCTCAATATCCACGGGCAACGATTTCAGAATACCGGCCGGTATGAGGCTATGATATGCCGTAGCGTTGACAACCACGTCGAAGGCATGCACGCTGTCGTCCACTGAGACTTGTTGCTTGGAATCGGCTTTCGTGATCTCCTTCACGTCACAGCCCACGCGTACATCCACGGAGGCATGGTGCAATCTCCTCTTTAAGGCACTCCGTAACCTGTTTCCGATGACAATGCTGGGCTCATCCATATCGTATGCACTAATGAGGCCTGCAAACCCCAGTTGCTCAACGTCAAGTGTTCGACACTCCGGTGACTCATTACAGACATCATGGAATACTTCTGGTGTGACCTTGGAAGCATATCCCAGAGCATCCCTTTCACCGAGGCCATAAATTGACTGCTCATGAGCCACAACGAGCTCCGGATATGTGTGACAGAACTTCTCAAAAACATCCCGACAAGCTTCCCGTGTTGGTTTAGAGCGGGGGTAATGAGGACCCTTGTGCAAGCGAATTCCGAAAGTCCCGGAGATTCCTTGAAGGATATCCGGCTGCTTTTCGAAAACCACCACATGGTGCCCTTCTTTCTTCAATTCCAACGCAATATGACACCCGTACCATCCTGCACCAATGACGGCAATGTCCAGTTTCTGAGCAGGCTTCATTCTATCTTTCAGATGCATATCAGCCTTCGTGCACATCTTGCCGAAAGCTGACACATGACAGTTAGATGATTCGAGAATTGCTTGATGGCTAAGGTCCACTTGCTATACATACCTCCGAATACGGATTTGGGCTATGGGTAAACTTTCCGACTTCTCGAGAGAGCTGCACTGCTGTACTCTCCAGGAGATTGATGTCCACGCGATTATGTGTCGTTTAGCATCGATCCTATGGCATGTTCAGGACGACCGGAGCACTGTAAAATAAATGAAAGTCTGCTGGGGGGCTGACGGTTGTGTATATATGCTATCTATGCACGGTGGGTCAGATTAAAACGCTTCTGGGGAAGCGTAGTGGTTATATTCACTATTGTCTCATGATCTTTTCCCCTTGGCTTTTTGTAAGACACCGGGATATTATAGTTCTCCGTATTTTGATATTTTCTTCTTCCTCCTCTACCTCTGTTTTTCTTTCTTTCTTCCTTTCTTTTTCTTTTCTCTTCTTTTCTTACTTTCTTTTCTTTTCTTTCCTTTTTTTTTTTTTTTTTTTTTCTCAAAAATCAATCTAGTAAGTACGAAGTACTACTCCAGATTAGCCACGTTTCAGTCCAATTTATCCGGTAAACTCGGTTAATGTATCCTTTTTCTTTCCCCTTCCTTCTTTCCCCCTCCCTGTTTGTTCTTATTTTTCATTTTTTTATTTACCCCCTCTTTCGCCTGACCTATTAGATGGTGGTGAAGGAACACTAGAGCTGTAACTTAACGCCAGCCAGTGAGGGATAATGTTGTACAGACTGCGTCATCTTGCATAGCTAGGTAGCCAGTAGGAAGGCAATAATGGGACACCAACAGGGGTTATGTAAATGCAGCTTGTCTACAGTGCCTTGCTAATTGTGTATCCATTTAGTCTTTCCTCCAGCATACTCATGTGTTTTCATATTTGCCGAACTGAAATGGTGCCGCTGAGGGGGGATGCAATAGATTCCACTACTAACAGAACGTAACTTGATTGTACCATTTTTGGTTGCCTTTTCCGGATGCAATAGATTCCACTACTAACAGAACGTAACTTGATTGTACCATTTTTGGTTGCCTTTTCCAAAAGCAAAGCCCGGGAACATCAGCTAACGTAGACTTGTGATGACCAGAATAGAAGACGAAGAAGTATGATCTGCTCCTGACCTCTGCAACGCCTATGAAATCTAAATTAATTGACAGTTCGATTGTTACACAATATTTTCCGACAGTCGACTTTGTTGACCAAGTCTGCCATCTCATGCGAGAGGTGACGTTATGTATTCTTTAGATGTAGACAGGATAGTTTGCATTGGAGCTGGGTTTGTGAATAAGATTGTTGACTTCAGCGATGAGTTAATGAAATAACATGATCCAGGGGGGCCACTGGGAGCCGTGATAGCGTCCAGATGTTCGTCTGTGCAAGTTACTGTGGTCGATAAAGATGCAACACGAATTGAATCATGGAATTCCGAATCCCCGCCGTTACACGAACCAGGGCTCGCTGAAATCATCTCCGGCATCAGACAACATGCATGGACGTCGACCGAATACGTAAAATCACGGCTCGTCTTCTCAACCGAAATTCAGTCCGCAGTTCAAGAAGCTCAGCTAATATTGTTATGCATTGATACTCCTACAAGGATCAGTGGTCGGGGCAGTGGCTTTGCCGCAGACCTGGGGAATATAAAACATTCTGTTGAGGCCATTGCTCGGGCGGCGACCGATGATATGATGCTCATGGGAAAATCAACGGTTCCATGTGGGGCTTCTCAGATGATTAAGACGATTGTAAGCTTACCTTGCTCACTCTCCGTACAGGGCATGTATGGACGCGAATGCAGTTATTGTGGCAACTGACTGGGATGAGCTTAAGTGCTCTTCCTCGAACAATGATGAGGCCCAGTCGTTGGATTGGCAAAATGTCTTGCGAGTGATGCGAGAGCCGAAATGTGTATTCGATGGACGGAACATTTTGGACGGTGACTTCATCCACAGTCTGGGTGGTCGCTATGTACGAGTGGGAATTCGTCGGAGTGGGACCGAGTGTCGCTAGCTTCTCTCTGATTCGTCCAAACGGCACAAGCTACAGATAATTACATATAGTCTCTACTTACGGAGCTTTGAAGAAATGTTGCTGGGTTGCCTCGAAGAACTTCTGTTGGAAGATTTATAGCCTCTGCCCTCCTATCCTTTTTACAGAAATTGTAACTCTATGGCAATCATAGGCCTGGTTATTGACTTTCGTCGCTAAACTTATCGCTGTGTTTTTTCTATCTCTGCACATTATCCTCCCTTGAGTGATCATGGATACTTCTCCTCTTCCACCAACTGTACTAGTCGCCGGCGTATGCTCATGCAACCTTCAAAAGCCGGACACTCATATTAACGCGATTGCATAGGCCGCAGGATTTCTGGGTTCCAACATGGTCCACTTCCTTCTGGATAAAGGATTCAATGTCATTGGACTTGACAGTTACCAGTCAGGAAGTGCAGCAAACCTGAACGACGTCCAGGAGCATCCGAGATTTGCTATGATACGGCATGTTTCCTTTCCTTCCTTTCTATTTGGGGCATCATAGCGAGAACCGCTACTAATGCTTCAAAAGCCATAACATCCAGTTTCCTCTCCCTGAGCTGCCGGCAATCCACCAGATCTATCACCTGGCTTGCACTGCCAGCCCTGTTCAGTACCAGAAGCATCCTGTAGACACCATTAACACTGCCTATCTGGGAACAAGGAATTTGCTTGACCTAGCACGACAACATAGCGCTCGAATTCTGCTATCGAGTACATCTGGTAGGTGACACATCTTACTTGCCCTCACGTTGGTGAACCAGCTGACGACAATCAGAAGTCTATGGCGAACCACAAGTACATCCTCAGCCCGAAACATACTGGGGAAACGTCAATCCATTTGGCCCTCGATCATGCTATGACGAAGGGAAACGCGCTGCTGAAGCTCTAGCTTATTCCTACGTTCAGGAGTATAGTGTCGATGTCAGGCTTGCACGCATTTTCAACGCATACGGGCCCTTGATGCACCCAGGAGATGGCCGCGTCGTGTCAAACTTCGTGACTGCCACAATCTCTGGCCAGCCTATCATCATCACTGGTGACGGCACAGCTACCCGCTCCTTCCTATACGTGGATGACTGCATACAAGGGCTGTACACGCTTATGCACAGTAACCATACCGGCCCGATAAACATCGGGAGCGATAGGGAAACCGCGATAGAGGATCTTGCTAACCTGGTGCGGGCGTTGGCTCATAGGCTAACTAGCCACCAATCGCCTAATATCATCAAACTTCCGCGACCAGAAGATGATCCAACCAGGAGGCAGCCAGAGATTAGTTTGGCACGCCGGCTCTTGGGCTGGAAGCCAGTGGTAAGTCTGGAAGAGGGTCTGTTGAAAACTATCCAGTGGCATATTGATTTGGGGCGCTCAGGCCGGATCGAGGGATATTCGAAAGTGAATGGGCGCCTTTAGGCGTTTGACTAGCTCGGAAACAAAACCCAATATGGATCGCCGATGCGATCAGATACAGATATGCTAGTGGAGCGCTATTGGAACTATGCTATGCATTCGTTTAGTGTCTCTTAGTGTTGAGTGTCTCTTGGTGATCCCGATTATTTTCGGTCTGACGCAAAGCCTTCCCCCCTCCCCCCTGCCTCTCGACGGACAAAGGTAGACCCAGAGATAGTGCTAAGTTTGCAGTCTCTGCTCTTATCCGAACACGTTATTTACTGTCCTGCAAAGCTCCGTATAGTTTGTGTACCCGTCCATTGCCATAGTCCCGATCGCATGCTAGACCGGATATATAATGGACCAGGTTAACGGTGTTCTAACGAAAGATCGCGTAAAACAAGAGCGCTTACAGAACGTATTCGACCAGTAATTTTATTTGACGCGTTGGAAATAAAGAAACGCACGCCGAAACCTAGCGATACAATAGCACTCGTGCGCAAATTATATTACGCCTCGATCTACTCCGATGCCCACTACATCTCTGAGAAAGCGGGTTGGGAGGGGCAGTCCAGTCACGTAAACTTCTCTCTGCCCATTTTCAACCTGGGTGGCGCCGCGACTTGTGGGTCAGCCCATCCCTTGGCAAAAGGACAGCAAAAGTGTCTTCCGAAGCCGACGGAGGATTGTGGATATATGAAGCTAGGACTATGTACTGATAACCCAACCATCCTGAACAGTACCTCGATATGAACTTCTTACTTTCTCTCATTTCTCCTTTTCGGAGAGTGCTGAACACTTGTACCCGTGATCTTGATGAGGACGTCAGCTTTCCACCGAGAGAGCCTATCTCGTAACCTTGAAGTAACATCACCAGCCATGTCTGCGATCTCGTCTATCCACAGATTCTAGGTATGTCCCCACACTGTTTCGGGATAATTATTGCTTACTCTGGTTGATTTCGGTTACTGCATAGCTGCTGCCACGCAATGCGAAGAACTGCGCTGCTGTTCTTAGTGCATCCTGCCAGGTGTGACGGAATTTGCCACTGGTCATCTATGAATGACTCGTTCTGACTAGTAATTGGTCCAAGGACCGATAGATTAACGATCGGCAATACCACGGTCTCAGCTGATGGCCCCGAGTTAGGCCCTTGTGCATAATCACATTTCAGCGCTAGCTATCACAAGCCGAAATATTTCCTGTATCTGCGAGGTCGACAAATCACGGATTTTTGGGCTGGCCATACATGGCATAGGATGACGGCTAGTCGATGGTTTCACCGGTATGCCTTCTACACTACTGCTCCCCATTGCAGCTCTCCGGGTCCAGCATCAATAATGGGCCTATTCTGCCACCGGAAAATGCTCCAGTTGAACCCAGCTATTCCATGATGGCGCCTACCCGCCGCTTTCCAACTTCACTCGCATCTGGGTTGTTCCACCATTGTTCTCCTGCCTTCCCGGGGTTCACTAGCCGAAGGTGGTCAGGCGACGCCATTGGCGTCTTCTCCACAGAGCAAATGGCACCCCTGACTAGTCTCATTATGTGATGCCTTCTTGCTGCAAAAGGTCGCCACGGCCATTTTCCCCGAGTAGTACTATTTTGTTCTAGGTAGATCGGGTGCGTTCACCGCATCCTGTTCTAAGCATTTAGGTCTATAACTAGAATGTCACATTGCGGCGGGCATCTAGTGTTCATTCAATTGCCCAGAGATGCTGTCAGGCGGTGGTAAGGTTCATATCGATCAATAGGTTCGAAAAGCCTGAACGAGTATGTACCTGACTTGATTAGCTTGTATGTGCGCTTTTTTCTTTCTTTCCTTTTCTTTTTTCTTTTGTATTTCTCTTATTTATCTTCATTCATTCTTATTTGTTCTTTGTTCCTTTTCCTTCTTCCTTTCTTTTTCATATGCTAGGAGATCGGTAAATAAAAGTCTTTCGCTCGTTTTCCTAAGGTGGCTAATGGCTGATTAGGGCGTGTTGACCTACTCTTCGGGATTAGGGAGGTGATCAAGTTAGAGATCCCAGGTTTATGATGTCCTGACTAGCTAAGGGATCTGTCTGCACCATAGGGAACCACATGGAAACGTCTTTCCACCTCAATTCAAAGCACCATTCTTGGTCGTCTCTACGCAGAGTTTTACCAGGATTTGAATAAATTGTGGTTTGCGGAGACCGAAGACCTATGCCCTGGGGAGGAGACATCAACGTCAACCCAGGCTCCCACGAGAAGGACGAGGATAGGATACATGCAGTATTTCGATCGGTATATATCAATGTAGCCACTGAAAACTGGTTCTGAATATTAGGACTTGTCTACGAGGACAATGGATCCTGCCGCCTCACCAGCGCCTCTTCCGTTCTGGCATGTGGACAAGGGCAATAATTAAGGTTGATTTCCAACGACGTGGCGATATGGCGGACAAACTTGGTAGAGGCTGAGTGTGGAGAGGTTTACAGTGAGCAATGTAGCTTATCCGCCGCTGCAAGCCCATTATACTGCAACTCGACGAGAATACGAATATTCATGCGAAAATAAAGAAACCACCTTAACTATGGCACCATGTAATTTTTATAGATGTCGTCTTCAAATGTTAGATATGAGCTACAGATGATCGATAAACTGCTATATTGAAAGCTCCTGTTGCGCCGCATCAGCATTTCTTGAAGATTCTGGGACTGCCACAATCATAATCAAGCCTTAGCTCTCGCTGAAGGCGCTCCAATCTACGCATCCGATTCCCGGAGCGTACTGAATAAGTCTGCCGCGATCAATAAAAGACACTGATCGAACACTATGGGACTTTCATGTGCGGCATGCGACATTGCGTGACCCTTTTCCATTGTGACCACACGAGTAACGCTTAAATACGATAGAAATCTTCTCAGCAAATATGTCACTAGGACACGAGGATCGGATTACCAGGTTTGTGGAATGAGGCGGAGATTCCGTGTTTCCCGGATCAGATCTCGCATTGGCTGAGGTTCAATGTCAATAGCCGCTATCTTCTATCTGCAAGCAGAGTAATTCAAGCTTTGCATAATAGGGCAACCTACTAATTCTAGTTCCCTATCCGTTAGACCTGGCGTCTGAAGAGAAAAGCGGTAGTTTGATGATCGAGGACCATGCCTCACTGTGTTGAGATAGCTAGAAAAAGGACTGAAGTAACTGTGATTCTGCCGGCCGAGTCCTAATATAACGTTAGCTAGTCTTGTCTAGGTAGCGCCAAGCGGCCCATTGCGTGCAGATTCTCTATTCCTCACCATATTACCGCATGATCAGCGGACACGTAGCCAGAACCCTTCTACTATAAGTTAGACATTATCCACCCGATCCCCCGTTTTCCACCAATTTTCCTCTACGTCACTTTCATTCTCATAGATGAAAACCCACGCACACAATTCTTTTTTGATTTTTGAGCCTTCATTCTCCAAAGAAAGCAAATACTCAAGTGCATATTCCATGTTCGCAAGCTCCTTTGGGTGCTCATCGCATAGTGAAAGTTGAGATAAAATATGGCCTCCATTACCCGCAAAGCTCTGGCAGACCTAGTGATACGATACTTCCGCTCTGTTGACACAGGCGATATTCCCGACGCTATCTCTCTCTTTGCCCCCGACGCGGTCTTCACCGTCGAGAGTGATCATGTCACCTTTACCGGCCGTGCGGTTATTCAATCCATGCTGACAAGTTTCAGCGAGCGGTCCACACTCATGGAACACCGTAATAGAAATATTGTGATCGACGAGGCAACGAGGAAGGTCGCTACGGAGCAGCGCTATGTTGGGGAACTGCATGACGGGACAACAAGGGAGATGGTCACATGTAATTTCTTTGATGTCGGGGTTGACGGGAGATTTGCGAGAGTGGCTGTTTGGATGGCAGGCCCCAGTCCGTTGGGGGATGGCAGGACTTAGGAGGTCTGCTTGGAGCTCATATCTTATACGTTGACTTCCTGCAACGAGAAGAAGCCTTGGTGAGCTAAATGTAACTAGCTCCTGTCAATAAGCGGTCAATTTAATCTTATCGTCCTACTTCAGCAGTAGGTTTAGCATTGCAGAAAGACAGCAAAGTCAAATGACAGTGTACGAAGAAGCAATATCACGCAATATTGCAAGAGATTGAATGTTAATAATCTGGACAGTAGAGTTAAGGTGCGTGGCATTTTTTACTCTGACTGGGTGCTAGCAGGCGGTGGTAGTCTGTATCCGCTTCAATCAAAGGTAATATTCTGTAAGAAACAGTGGTGTTATTTGCTAAATCCACGGCCTGCCCGGGAAGCTAATAGCCAGTATATAGATAAATCTTGTATACCATGATTTGTAAGGTAAAATCCCCTAACAGCAGCCAGTAATGTCTTAATGACTGTCCGCTTACTATAATGAAGGCAATGCAACTCGACGTTACCGTCATACCTCGTACTCATCCCTAAAGTCTCAATCGAACTCCCTAATAACCTCTCCCAGACGCTTGCCATGGAAACAGTGACTGCCGCTCTCGCTTGCCTCGAAGAGCTGATCGGGATAGTAGTGGACAACGTAGTTGGCGGCAAGTGATTCAAGCTGCCCGCGGGTCCACAACTTCTCCCGATGTTCATCCAAGATTGATCGTACCTCTTCTGGAACCAGCGCAGGATCCACACTTGAATTGAGCACCAAATCTATCGTCCGCAGAAAGGCCCGGCAGAGTTGCCATGCCAGGCTCATGTGCCAGAGACCAGCCACACAGCTGACTAGAATCTCGCGCCATTTTGAACATTTCAAACGCGAGGCAGCGTGAACGCTGACAACGAGAAAGTAATGCATCATAACCACAGGAAGGGATTTCCAACCATGGCAAGCGCGATACAACAATATAAGTGTCCCCATCGACTTCATGGCTTCATCCATAATATTACAGGGATCAAAACTTGTTGATGGAATTAATCCATTTGCCGTTGGATTGTGTAGGTCACCTCTGAATATCCCACAGAGGTTGACGACGGTTGAATGGTAATAGAGGCTGCAATCGTTATTATATACAAGGTACGACAGGGAAATGAATCAACGCACTGTAGACAAATATTATGTGGTGATCTGTTTATGTCAATATCCAGAACAGCCGGAAGAGTCCTCCTGAAGATATCAAGCCTCTTATAGAGTGCGGCAGCCCTCTGGCTATGGTGCAAGTCGGTCAGCATGTCCGAATGGGAGGACAGTCGAGTCACATCATTCACGAGATTGAGAAGTGTCCGACGCGCCCATGTGCTTGTGTTTGGATATGGCCTGTATACAGGGGCTGTAAACGGATATGGCGTCCACTTTTCATTGAGGTCCGCGGTGCATGCTTCGTCTTCGTCCAAGCTTATCTCCGGCGGGGCTGACCAAACGGAAGACCTTCCAGATACTTGGGCTGACATTCTATTTACGTTCAGATATTATTGGCAGCCCCTTGTAGAGACAGAACTCACGTTTCAATTTCGTAGACTGCACAAGCAATAATCTTATGCGCTCGCAAATTCTGCTCCGTGTCTGTCTCACAGTGAGCACGGAAAGTCTCGGCTGTCTGAGTATGGAGACCGAGCTTCAAAGCCATCAGTGCGCCGTATTGAATGTAACGAACTCCAATATTGCCTTTTCCCATGGCGCAGAAGAACAGCCCAAGGAGGAAGCTCGACTGCATAGTAGGAAGGCAGATCCGGTTCTTATCCTGACGCCAGTGCTTCTCAAGTGTCTTAAAAAGCTGTTTGGCCGTCTGTGTTTCTCTGCGACGGTCCCAAGGTCTCGCTAGATTATATGAAAAATGCTGCATCAGTTAACAACATTGCCGCATATCAGCACGAAGTACCTACACATGCATAGAAGAGCATTGTGTTAACCAGCAAGGAGGAGCAGAAGCGAGTGTCTCCGCGACAGAAACCATTAAGGAATAAACTAGGCTCGATCAACCTCCACGTGGGATTATCCCAGACAAAGAATAACGAGAACAGATGCGATGCAGTCATGTTATCAACCTGGTCCGACCACAACTCAACAGTGTGGACGCGGTAGGGTGCTTGCCGTTCGACAAGCTGTGGTTGACCAGATAGTTGTGTTCTCCAGACCAGCTGTATATTCTCCAGGCTGATGCCAGGCCGTTGCACTGGGACTTGTCTGACCAGGCGCGTGGCGGCATCATGGACGGACACACTGTGGCGGATTGTGCTTATAACGGATGGCAGTGTCTCCGGATTACATTCGTGAATGGCTTCATAGATCTGATGCAGCTCGTGGAGCCGAACTTGTAGCACTTGCAGCGCAGTTTCCAGGCTTCCCGGGCAATTCTGCTGTGCAACAGTATGAGAAGCTCGTGGGCCCTGCGCAAACGTTGTGGTGCGTGACAGATTTAGTACATTGCCGCCAGTGACGGTACGTTGTATGTATTATGGCTTGTAGGTTTGGCTTACCTCCGGATGTCCAGCAATTGCGGATGGCAAGGGGTCGAGCAATCGGGATAGGATAGACCGGATCAAGCGGTCATGGCGTTGAATGATGTCTTTTAATTGGTCCAACTCCTTCCTTTCTCTAGAGCGTCTCTGTTCTGAATACGTGCACTCGATTGCCAGTCTTTCACAGTTGATGCACGTCGGCTTCGCCCCATTGCATTTGGCTTTGCGGTTCCGACACGGATCACAGGCTTGCAATGTGCGGGACCGAGGGCTCGAGATTGACACCTGGGCTCGCGCTCGGGGGATTAATAACTTGTTGGGATGTCTGGTGGTCTGTGGAGGTAGCATTGCCCAGAGGGAAGGTGCCATCCTGGCATGTATTACTTCAGGGGATAGCACGACGCACTGCCGGAGATCGTTATTAGTCAGACCTAAACGGGTGGAGGGCAAAGGGGACGCTGGCTTTGGCCGGCGAGATGGAGGTTGAGTGCCACGGCCTGCCACGCATGGACTGTTGATCGCAATGACTATTCTTTGCCTTCTGCTTTCCGCTTAGCCGCCCATCCCTAGGAAGCTTTATAGTCGCGTTATGGCCAGTCTCGTACCATCGGCGCTAGAGCGGACGCTGATTCTTACAGGGTAGTCGTTAGTCTTCGGGGTTTGAAAAGAAGCCAGGGAGGTGCTAACCCATATTTAGTAGTAGATCCTCAGCCGTGCATATAGCGGGCAATATAATGTCCGTGTGCGATTACTGTGGAATCAGAGAAAGGTGAGCTAAGTGAAGAAGACTGTATTTAGTGGGCTCCCCGATAGACGTATCACATGAGCGCTGCATTGCGGCACCGGAGCTCCAATCATGACGAAAGTAGCTATTAATGTACTAGGCTTCCATATCATCGGAATATTCTTCCCTACTTTTCGCTTCAGATATTCCTACGACTAGCAGGCCCCATAGTTTCGTTCAATGACGTTTCAGCTGAGGGATTCAGGCCGAATATATTAATAATCGACTCAATGTTGTTTGGGCCAAGAGGGAAATGTTAATAGAGTCAGACACAAAACTTAACTGTACATTAGACAAATGCGGAAGGAGAGACTACTACTATCTATTCTTGTCATTTCTAGTAAATGCGGAGTTATCCTCAGTGAACGATTCTGATATATTGAGGGCAATTGGTCATATACAGTCAAAACAGCTGTAAATACTCTACTAACGAGATCTACTATTACTTCTGAACCTTAACAGACATTCTTTTCTCCTCACGCAAGACTGGCCTCTAAAGGGCTTTGCTCAGTTGATTTAACAGCGTCCCTGACTGTGGTAGTTGTGCTATTAAAGTTGCAGGCCAAAGGAGCTGATGATTCAAGCGTTATGGTCGTTTAAATAGAGAGATAAGTACAAGCGCCTTTTGGTGAATCGTGCAGACATGAAACGTGTCGCTTCCAAATCTCCCTCTCAGAGCAGCCTGGCAGTAATTCTTGTCGTATAGCTATTTGTTTCGTCCAGGACTCAGAAATCTCGTTTTACTGAACGTAGTTCTCTCCATATATATAACATTGCGCCTTGTCGAGTCTTCAAATCGGAGATTTCTGGATTCTGTCGGGCCCAACTCAATCCTCACGAATTACGATAATATCCATTGTCTGACCCTCCACTAAATCTAGACAGTGATGCCACACCCAAGTTACTGTTCTCCCGCCTTTATAATCTTGCTTGACTGAGCCAGGCCCACCAGTCATGATGATGCCGGGCGTGTTGACTGTGATACTTGACCAGCTAAAACTGGCAAAAGTATGGCCTCCGAAATAGAACTTATGCTGTTTTCAAGGTTGTCTAGCCCGCCGCTTGCTACCCCTGTTACCTGAACTTGGAATATTGATGTGGACGTTCTCCCGGCGACGAGTTAATATTGTAGTCCACATGTTGGTTGCTTCGTTCATCCCTGCTTTTACTGACAAGGGCATTAAATGGATCAGAATGTGGTTTCTGCATGATGATATCTTATCACATACAAATTAATGCAATCCTAACTATTCAATAACATACAAGTTCACTCGGCCTATTGTTTGGTCTCGCCGAATTTCTTCGATAGTGAAGAGTTATTTGAGGATTCCGTGGAATGTCCCCTAAGGTGGTACTAGTTCTGACTCTGAAATAGCTACCCTGAGTCGTGTTTGGGGATAACGGGACCATCAACTAGTGTTAGCCTGGCCGACCGTGGAGACAGGACAGATTGCGTGTACATAATAACATCACATGATTTGATAACTAGAGTTGCACTCGAGCTCCACACCCCATTGAGATCGGCTTTTGGCCTACGAAAATGCTGACTTACAGGCACGCAAATATCTGGGAGGTATGATACTGCTCACTGGTTAACATGCGCACTATTTCGTCGGGTGTAGACGTTGGTGACGATGCTGCTAGGCGAGGCCGACAAAGTGGTGAGGATGTCTCGGTTCTGGGGCAAGGTAGCTGTGGTGGCGGCGCTCCCAAAGAATAGTGATTGGAGACACTTATATTTAACCCTGTCCTCATGGCGCATGGGGAATTACGCCTTTCCTGAGTCTGAGTTAGACTCGCGGTGGACTGATGGATGTGGCGGACCCTGATCTTAAAATAATAACAGCAAGAACAAGAGTAACCTAATTCAACCACTATTGATATATCCTTGACTTGCACTGCTTAAATAATGATAGGAAATTCAAGTGAGACGCTGTTGAGGATACTGTGCCATCCATGGCTTTTACGGCGGATAAGGCACGCGTACAACGAATATGCAACGTATAGATAGGGGTGATCCTTGTTAGGTATCTCCGGCTGGGAATAGATGCAGCAGTAATGGCCGATCCAGATAAGATAGTGGCCTCCTGCTGGTCGTTAGGATGGGACGAAGCTGCCGACGTGTACAATGAGGAGCCGACCTAGCCGTCACGCGGCATACCAGGTTGGCCGAGGACCCACCTTACCACGCCCACTTTAACCCAATGCAGACTTGTTGAGCCGGACCTGCTGCCTTTTTTTGGGGGGTCCACTATAGTGTACAGAAGACATCCGAATGGTGGTTGAACGGCGGTACGAAATGCTTGCTCAAACATTGATTTGTTTGTAGGTCGGTTAGGAAACAGGACATTTACCCAACCGGATGACCCTCATGACAAAGTGCAATTGAAACGATGCTCTCCCCTTGAAGGGGTTTACCCTGGTAGACTAGATAACGAGGTCATACTGCGCTCAGAGACAAGGCTGATACGGAATAAGCAGGGATTAGGCTACGGTAAAGTATCCATGACTTGCAAAGCACCATGCCCGACATTATTACTGCATAATGAATGGTCATAGAACATGACAAACAGAACTGACTGAATTCAAGTTTTCCGCCCCAAATCCCACAAGTCTCCCGTGAAGGTTCGGAACGACGGGTTCCTGCTCGAGCAAGTACGGCGGTTAATAGCGGCCATCGGGCAAATGCGTTGATGTCCCTTTACCGCTCTACATACCGCATCCGAATTAGGATCTCATGATATTCTGCATGATACTGTACAAATCCTTTTTCTAATGATTATTAAACCTGCCTCCTTTCATGCTGCTTTTTCAAAGTATTAGTTATCCCAGTCTCCCTCTCCACCTCTTTGTATGAGGAGGAGATATGCAATCAGGGAGGATAATAAGAATTAGGCGGCTGAATATAGGCTATCAGGTCTTTAATTACATATTATTCTACTAGATAGCAGGATTGTGGGTTTGTACGGCAGGCTAGGGCAGGCAGAATTGGCTCTATGATAATGAGGTCTCTGTACGTACAAACAAAATAGGAAATAAATAGTTAAGACAGTGAATACAGTGCTAGTTTATACCTAAGAAGTAAATTCTATCTCTTCTTTCTGCCTTCTATTAATATATCTACTATTACTACTACTACTATTACTACTACTACTACTACTACTACTACTACTACTACTACTACTACTACTACTACTACTACTACTACTATTACTACTACTACTACTACTACTACTACTACTACTACTACTACCATCACCACCAACATGCCTTACGTGCTAGATGATTAAAAACAGATTACTGAGCTTGATTTTCTATCTATCTATCCTATCTCTGTTGTACAGGATAAAATTGACTAAAATATGTTCATATAGCAATAATAACAACACCGATAACCGCTATATTGGTATTTCTTCTTCTTTTTCCAGCCTGTCTGCCTGTCCCCGTCCCCCGACCTGTAATAATTCTAGTTGTTGTTATACGAGGGGCTCCCGGTTGGTGCTGATTCTACGATCCCTGTAAGAAATCTAGATTGATTATACCTGTTCATGTATACTGATGAAGGACTGCAAGTGCTTGCCCGGCTAGGGATATGATCTGTTGAGTTCTGATACGGCCGGATTCATACTTACCAGATTGTAATGTACCGAGTAAGCTATATCAATGCTCTGCTGATATAATCTCACGGAATTTATCCGGCCAGGCAGGAGGTGCCGGATGATTGGGATCTGTAGACGGAGGAAGCCTAGGTAAATATAACTGTTTCTTTAATTATAAATATATATCTGTACCTGCACCTGCACCTGTATCCCAGTTATACGGGATACTTGTATATAATACCCTGGGCAAGACTTGCACCTCTCCGTGGTGCTCAGGACTAGTAGCCATCTGTATGGCGAAGCCAAGTAAGTCATCCAATGGTGTACGTACAGCTTCATATAGATAGGTATGTTAGTTAAGCTATATGATCCAATCAGCTACATACTAATTCTGCCGGCAGTAAACACCAAAAAATTGCATTTGCCCGATGGCCGCTATTAACCGCCGTAGAGCAAGTACCTGATTGGGGGGCAAAAAGGCCCGCCGATCATTCCAATCATAGCCGTACGAGATAGTCCCCCGCCTTATAGAGTCCATATATTGTTTCCCCGGCCTAGACTTGAGTACATGTTACAGCGTAGGGATGCTAGCTAAAGGGGGGGTAAGAGGCTACATCGTTGCTTGAATTATCGCTGTCTAGACTACGTAGCTCGGCGCGAGCGTGGGAATAAACAGAGTGTAGATGTAATCACGTGACATCACTGTGCAGCCTTGCCTACTAGATAGTATATCAACTTTACATACCAAACATGAGGGGTTTCGTGATTCCGGTTGCCAACCTCCTTAAGCTCTATCTTGTTCCAATAAAAATCTCCTGCTTGTGTTTACTTAGCTCTAAGCTGTGTTCTAGTATTTGGCATCCATTCATCTGGTGAAGCTTTGTATTGTAGGACTGTCAGGACATGAAACGATGGGCCGCTTTTGGACTGTGTAGGCACCATCATATACCATTAGTGAACGGTCATAATAATGTGAAGTAAAGGGCTGTGATAAACGCTTCAGATAAATTCTGAAAGCTTACCTGCGTTTCCACACAGGGAGAAGCCCTATATCTGTTAATTACCTGACCTGGAGACACAAGATTAATACCTATGATGTATGATTCCCGGAGCTCTAAAACAGCTTGTTCTAATAGTGTGGTCTATTATAAGCTTTTAA